TTCAAGTTCGGCTCCTCCTGGCTCACAAGGTTCAGCAAACCTATCAGGTTGGATGAAAGAGTCACATTTCTTGGAGTTTCTTAGATTTTTTCACCTTTATGTGAAAAGTACTGTGGAAAGACCATGCCTGCTTTTACTAGATAACCATGGATCACATCTGAGCATAGAAGGACAAAATTTTGCCAAAGCAAATGGCATTGTCATGCTCTCTTTTTACGCTCACTGTTAACATAAACTTCAACCTCTTGACCCTTTTAAGAAATATGTAAATACTACCTGCGATGCTTGGGTTTTAAATAATCCCGGTAAGAACATGACTATATACGACATCCCTTCAGTGGTCTCTATTGCATAACGCCTCGTATTTAATCCTAAAAATATACAGTCTGGACTTCGGTTATCGGGTGTGTTTCCTTACAACAGAGATATTTTCTTGCGAGCTCTGTCACTGATAGGCCAGATCCGGGTATCTTGAACGAAGCAATAACTGGACCAAACCCGGAAACCTTAAACGAAAAGGAAGTTAGGCCAAATCCAACCATCTTGAACGAAGATGAAACTGTAAGTCTGATAAATATTAACACGCAGGAAGCAATAGATAGTATACGAGAGGGCAAAACAGTTAATCAAACTAGTTTTGATGATCCCTGCTGTAGTAGTTTAGTAAGGCTGCATGCGGGAAATATAGTATTACCAGAAAGTTTAAGACCTTATCCAAAGGCATCGGCAAGAAAAATGAATCGAGTTTCCCGTCGTAAACGAGAGACTTCAATACTCACTGACACTCCAGTAAAAGACGAATTAGAGAAATAGAAAAATAAATGCTCGAACAAGAGAAAGAGGAACAGGGAAACAGTGAAAAGGGACGTTTTGATTCAGAAAAAGGCCTGTTCAGATAATTAAACTGATGGAGAAGAATGTTTTTGCTTGATTTGTCTTGAACCACTTTCTAACAGCGCGTCAAATGAAGAATGGGTGAAATGCTCATCGTGTAATGGTTGGTCTCATGATGCGTGCACTGATGAACGCGAACTTTACATATGTCATAACTGCGATAGTGACTAATTGAAAAAAAAACTCGTCTACTTTTTTCTCATAAAGATTTGTCATCTAAATACCAAATCTTTATGTCTTTTGTCTTATTTATAATAATAAATATGTTTAAAAGTATGATATAAATTATTATTGATCTAAAATACACGTGACAACCAACCCCAAGCAATGTGACATCCAGCCCCAGCAAGGGGCAAGTTGTCACATTTGTTTCTGTATTTTGAAACATTTTAATTTAATATTGTGAATTATTTTACAGCCTTATCGATTTTACATAGTGTTCCCAAAGGATAAACCATATTAGTTATGCACCAAATATCTGCATATAACGCTTCAGATCGAATAAAAAAAAGAATTACTGAACAACTAGCCCCGGTCTCCCCTACTAAACTTGAAATTTCTATTTCACAGGCTACAAACTTAAGCGGCTTGGTTGGGTTTTGACAGATGAGGTGTGGTTGGATTTGTTTCAGCAGTGCTAGTGATACTGGCTATATTAAATTTTTTTATAAACAAAATGGCGGATAATAATAAAAAGAATCATCGTTGAAATTCGTATTTCACAGGGTACAGCTTAAACGGCTTGATGGATTATGACTTATACGATGTCTCTAGATTCTTGACAGTTTGGGTGGACCGCTGCGACTATTATGTGGGTTTGTTACCATTTTTGATTTGGTTACTCACTTCTCACTCGTTCGTAGCCGTTTTGGTTACCGACTGTAGTGTGCGGGCAATTAAACATGGATGATTGTCGCTGCGTAATCGATCAACTACTTGAAAATTCATTCTCCTTGTATAATTTAAAGAAAAGGAGATCATTGAAGATGGAAGACCAACACCTATTTTAGATCATTTTAAAAAGGAATAAAAAACGTAGTTTGATATTTTAAATTAAGTTGGTATATGGAAACTCTTGGTTATGTGATTGTAAAAAACAGATTGCATTGTTGGCGATGTCATCTGTTTTATACAGAAAAAAATGGGTAGACCAGCAGCAGAGTCACCAATTTAAATAGTTTTAGGGGTCTAAAGAGGAGACATGAAATTTTTCCGTTACATGTGAGATGTGTAACCAATTTAATTCAGTTTGGCAAAACAAGAATGGAAAGTTGTCTTAACCAAGCTTTTAGGCAGCACACTTCTAGATACCATATGTTTTTTGGCAAAACAGGAATTACCGTTCACTTTGAAGGGGATGACTCTGACAATAGAGGAAATTACAGGCAATTGTTAACATTCATTGCCAAAAAAGATCAAAAATTTTCCGAACATCTAGAAACGTTGACTGTTTTTTTCGACGGCTTGGATTAGTCATAGCATAAGACGATGAGGTATATCAAAGGTCCCAGACGCTCAGTCCAGGAATGTTTACCTTAATTTAAAAATAGATTAAATAAAATACCTAAGATAAGCAAAAACTTATATTTGGGAGGTTCAAAATAAACTTTTTTTAAGATTTTTCACATCTGGTTTAGGAAAAGTCACGCGTCGCCACTAGTAGATACTAAATTATAAAAACTGAATGGCAGTTAAAAAAAACAACCTCAAATTCCTTTTAAACCGCTTACTGGAGTTAGACATGTGAAGTGTCTCTACTTTTCTCTTAATAGAACAATTAAATATTTATTCTTTTCAGTTTCTGCAGAGCGGTTGCTTGTATTTTTTAAAAGTGGACTTGCTACAAATTTCTTGTTTTTCTCTTAGGATGTTACCATATTGTCTTTGTCGCTAAGACTATTGCATTTTTTTGCTTTCCTCTGCACGCGACCATATCAGTGAACGGAAATTTACTTTTCAGTAAAACTTCGTAAGTGCTGTCGAAAGTTGCTTTCGTTTAAGTGATGGTGTGTGTTAGAACATGTTCAAGGGAAAAGCTGAAAAAGGGCCGTTTGATGGTAAACTAATTAGTGATTTAGATCAATTCAACTAAATATTCTAAAAAATAGTAGTTTTAGGTTTCAGACACGTATTATCAAAAAATATACAAAAGCTTGTGACTATAAAAAAAGTGAAACTATAATGGAGAATAACGGGCACAAAATCCCGATTTTTCTAACAATAAATTGCATCCATATTATTTTTTAAGACTTTCTGAGACGTATGTGCCTTCTTTCAGCATTATTTAATTGGTAAACGTTAAAAAATTTCATTAGGCGACAAAATTTCATCACTTGCACTAATAAAATGTGGCGTCCACAAGGTTCTGTTTTAGGGCCACTACTATTCAAATTTGAATAGCAGCTTCAAATACACTTGAAATTTGACCATAGTTATTTAAAATTAATAAATAATCTTGAAAACGCTACCTCACTTATGAACAAGGATCTAGAAGTAATCTATAATTATGTATGCAAAGCACAAGGCTCTTAAACTGAACACTGGAAAAACCCAAATGATTTTATTCCTCCCAAAAACAATATCCAAGTTTGTGAAGGAAAGACGGGAATTTGTGTGAGCCAATCACAGTTGGAATTGTCGGACCGTAGGGTAAACCATACAGTTATCGGACACTTAAGATTTATTTGTTTTCAATTCCTCATAAAATCATTATCTATTGTATATTTACAAAAACTCTTTCATTTTCTAAAACGGTTTTTATTGCTTTATTAGAGAAGTGCGAATGATACGTGTTTGAGGAAAGTATGTTTTTTTGAAGACAAACAATACAAAAAAGTATAGTTATTGGACAGTTCTGATATTTATCAGACACACTACAGATAGTTATTGGACATCCACAATGGAAACTACAGATCAATATAGACTGGCTGATTTTTGCATCCTTTATTAATTTTCACAACCAAAATACATTTTACTAACAACTAGTAAAAGGATGAAGGTTGAAGTTCATGTCTTTTGTTTCGCGTATTGTTGGTACAACTGATAAAGCTTGTCGACCTCTGAGTCGGATTGACCTGATTGGCTGCCGTCAGAATCGGAGATGCTGCTATCTGTATTGTCCTCTTTATAGCACATGTGACACAGAAAAATTTCGTCTGCATCTTCCTGATTAGTGATGAACTGCTTATGTGCTTTGGACTTGGACTTTCTGGAATTGTGAAATATTGAGCGAATAGCTCCGAATTTATGGGACGGACACTGTTGCTCATTCGTGGCGTCATGCATGAAGCTGTAGCTGTGTCTAAATTTTGCAAATCTCTGCGACGAGATCTTGGGGCATGCACTAGTACATCAACTGTGGCCTCATTCCTTCCTACTCGTGGTAGTTGATGGTGTGTGTTTTTTCTATAGTATCCTGATTAACAATTGGTAACCCTTCTTGCATGTCAGAGGATGATCCGTTTGCTTCTGAATGAGTCTCTGATATTAGGTCTGAATGTACCTTATTTTGATCACTTGTTCTGTGGAAATATTGCCAAAGTTTAAAAAGTGACATAAAATCATCATTACAGATTTCGGGAACCTGCTGACTCAATATTTCAAATTTGTTAATCCTTTCTTGGCCTACAATCTGAACAAATGTTTTGTAATCCATGGTCTGATTTTGCAATAGAGGAACATCCTGAATTATTGTGTGGTTTGTGCTTTTAGCTCCTAGACATTTAGTGTAATCGATCGCATTTGGGTTGAACGGAAATAGCCAACATGCTTTGAAACCATTAACTAGTGTTTCAGGTTTTATACTGGATTTAAAAGCTTTTTCTACGACAGGAGCAAAATTCACTTTATTGAGAAGTTCAGATGGGTGCTCTTCTTCCCATTCTCTGACTGTCCGGCGCCAAGCTTGCTTAAGTGGTCGGAAAGCAGCAACATCGCATGGTTGTAAGATGCTGGTCGAATTTGGATATAAAGCGAATATTTCTATTTGTAACCTTTTACACAAGAGGCTTAAACTATAATTAAGATGGGACTTGTGATCATCCAAGAACAAGATCACTGAAAATTAATATTATGTGTCACAAGATGAGGATGGAAGACGTTCACAATATATTCATAGAATGTTTCGCTGGTCATCCATCCTTTAGGGCTACGGCCGATGCCCCACTCTGGGTTTACTGATTTAGCAATCTTTTCAGTAAATCTCACGTAGGGGTAAATGATCATAGGTACACCAATTTCCCCATTAGCTGAAAAAGCAAAGATAACTGTTATATTTTATTTTGCTGCACCTCTATCGATTGTGTAAACGTTTTTTGCACCACGTTTCGCAAATACTTTGCCAGTAGAAGGGCTAACTTCAAATCCTGTTTCATCTGCATTATATACTCGAGTAGGATCAGATATCGCATCTTCCAAGTCATTTCCTTTTATGTAAGTTTCTAATTCAGAGAACCATAGTCTGATATCCTTTTCGGATACACGCGCACTAGCTGCGCTCACAGATTCGCTACTTCTTTCAACAATTTCCGGATGCCTGTTCAGAAAAGCCTAAAACATGATCTTTATTAAAAAATAGCTATGAATTGCTTGATAGTCATACTTTAACCCATCCATCGCCAAGCCTATTGTTGTTGAAAGGATTTTTCCGCGGATGATCATTTAAAAAATTTTGAACACTGGACTTGGGGTCGTTCGCCTTCTTTGGAAATCCTTTTCGTGCTGTTTCTAGGATCCAGCTAGAAATCGATGGCCAAATGTTATAAAAGACAATAAATAGTTATATTATTAATCCATTTACTTCACCAATATCATCTCTTCCTCTTCGTTCAGAACAGGTGAGGGACCACAAGTATTTTTGTAATCAGGATGCTTAATTTTAAGTTCTATAGTCGATTTCGGAACTCCATATTTCAATTCTGTGATCTATATGATTCAACTTTGTTGATGACGTCTTGCACTGCCCCATCTATGTTGCTTTTATCATAGTCTTTGACCTTAGGCATCGTTAGTCACTAAAAATAAACATATTATACAGTTAATGGACACTCTATCTCTAATTATTGGACATCCGTCCAATAACTGTTCACAGTGCTCTGAAATATCTGTAAAAAGTATAGCGAAGAAACCTAAACGGTTTTAGTTGATTGACATAGATTTTACACAAAATGGTTCATATACAGTTATTATTAGAAATTTCCGCATTTCTCAGTTTAATTATTGGACATATTAACTTTTAGGTTATAATAATAGGATATGTGAGCACTCACAATAGTGCGTCTATATATGTATAAACTTAGTGATATGACATGACAAGCATCACGGTCAAACTAAAAATAAACTAACAGTATTTAAAAACATTACTCTCTATCCTAAACAAAAACTTAACGAATACGTACCTGCACTCACGTGCATCACTTGCTACTTATACAAAACTATTCAGCAAAGCAAAGATGTCGCTGGCTTAGTTTTGAGACCTTGTAAGTGAACTGATATAGCCATCTATCGGTTGATAGACGAAGTACTAAGATTTTGTACCTTATTTTCAGGGATCGTAAGTGAACTGTCCCATAACTGTGTCGTGTCCAATAACTATAGGGTTTACCCTATAAAAAACCCCGGGGTGCTCTTTGATGAAAAATTAGGGTTTAGAGATCACGTTGCTGTTATAGTTAAGAACTGCTATTTAGCATTAAGGCTCCTTCCGGTATTTCAATAAAAAAGTGAGACACAAGAGACTTGTCATTTCTAAAATTCTTTATTGTATACCATTATGTTATCCCTGACTAGACCAAAATACAGCAAAACGTTTGCAGAAAATCCAAAATTTTAGCTACCGTCTGATAATCTAATAAGATATGATCACACATCAGGCCATATCATTGCTATAAACTGGCTAAGTGTTAAAGACTTGTTGAAATATGTATTGCGCACAATTGTGCATAAAACATTACTCAACAAGAGACGTTTATACTAGTAGAGAAAATTCATTCCTCGTCATAATACAGGGTGTAAACTTTATGATAGTCATTGTTTAAATGAGTGATACAGGGGGTTAAAACAAGTCAAACAGTTAATATGACCCATGGTCCAAAAGTCAATAGATTTTTGTCTAAATGGCTTTATAGTATACAACTTTATGTGCTTTATATCGACCACAATCACCACAATCTTACTAATTTTTATAATCTAATCTAAATGGTTTTTAAATTGGGTAATTAACAAATAAATGACATTAAGTTTTTCTAAGTTAAGCCAAAATTTGTAGTCAGTAACTAAGTAAGTTTCATTAAAATAAATATTTAAAACACACATGACGCGTCGGTCTTTCATCACTCTTATCGAACCGGTAATCGATTGCAAACGGTAACAGTGGTTAGTTACCGGTTTGTATAGATAAATTACTTTATCGTTTTGTCGAGCAGAGTATCGGGCGTGTTGTTTTGTTTTTGTTCGCGTTCGTCGTCGTGTTTATTTACAATGTTCTCGAATCAAGAGTTCGCCGACATGTTAGTTTACGATGAAGCTCGTCAGAATTCAAATCTTCCAGCTCAAATTTAACGCGACAGATTTCGCCAACGGTTACACCCAGACGGAAGGACATTTGTGCAAGTGTAGCAAAGACTTCGAGATACAGGAAGTGTTCAGCCCACTAATATCCGCACTCGTGAAAGACAGATTACTGTAGAGCAGGAGGAACAAATCTTAAATATCGTGGAAATCAATGCAGATATCAGCACTCGGGAATTAGGCCGTCGCGTAGGACTATCGCATACCATAGTCCATAGAATCCGACGGGAAAATTTACTTTATCCCTACCATGTACAACGAGTTACCAGAAGACTATCCTCGCAGACTAACATTCTGTCAGTGGTTTTTGCACAAAAACGTTGAAAATCCGGATTTTTTTAAAAACATTCTAGCGACGGACGAAATTTTCGGTTCTGGTGTGCCGAAAACCCAAGAGAGATACACGAAAAGCCTCTGCATAGTGAGAAAGTCACAGTTTGGTGCGCCGTGTCAGAAACTGGGATAGTTGGGCCTTACTTTTTTGAAGAAGGTAATCGGGCTGTCACCGTCAACTCGGAACGCTACGTAGCGATGATTCAGAATTTTTTGTCCCAGCTCTTGCAGAATTCATTGTGCAGAATGCCTGGTTTCAGCAGGATGGGGCGACAGCCCACACATCCCGAGCATCTTTAGGCATTTTGAGAGAACTGTTCCCTGGACGCTTGATCTCCCTTAGAGGCGATATTCCTTGGCCTGCGCGCTCCCCGGATTTGTCGCCTTGCGATTTCTTTCTGTGGGGCTATCCTAAGGCTCAAGTCTTTCAACATCGTCCAAGGACCTTACCACAGCTGAAGGAGGCAATCCGTCTGGAAATTGGCCGAACACCGCAAGCAATGTTAGTTAGAGTTATGCAAAACTTCAGAAAGCGCTTGCGGCAATGCTGTGATAATGGTGGAAAGCACCTTGCCGATATTATTTTCAAAACCACATAAAATAAAACTGTTTGAGTTGCACTTTTAAGATTTCAAAATAAATCCATAGTATTCCAAATAACATTTGTTTTATTAAGCTTTGAAAATAGGGAGACAGTTATGCCCCACCCTGTACTTTTACACGAGACGGGATATTAAATCTCCATAATACTCAAACATAGGCCCAAGAAAATCCTCATACCTTCGTGAAGGTCATTTCTAACAACGTTTTAAAATAAATATTTGGGCAGGTATTCTTGATGATCAGGTAATTGGCTATTTCGAGTTACCCCCAAAGTTGTCAGAAGAAGTATACCTAAGCTTTCTAGCCAATAACCTACCAGAACTTTTGGATCAGACCTTAGACAACATGCCATTACAACGGAGACAGAATTTGTGGTTTCTTTATGACGGGCCACCACCACACATTTTTAGAGGCGTCATTCAGTATTTGAATGAACATTATCCAAAACGCTGGATCGGTCGAAATGCTCCTCATCCTCGAAAATTTCCAGCAAGATTTCCTGACCTCAATCCGATGGATTTCTGGTATTGGGGAGAACTTAAAGAGATGGTTTATGGGGCTGGTCCAATAACAACTGAAGCACAACTTCGCGAAAAAAAATTTAATGCGGCTGAAATAATAAATGGACAACTTCGAGGACCTAGAGTAAGAAGAAACTGGGTTCGTCGTAATGAAGCTTGTGTGGAAAGAGGAGGAGGACATTTTGAACACCTTCTTTAAATACAAAAAAGTGCAGTGTTGGTTTTAAAAAGAAAAACAATGTATGTATCAAAAGTGTGTTCGCTATTTATAAGTGGATTTTTTAATACGTTCAATAAACTTCCACACACCTGGTGAAGCGCTGAGACAGTTAGTGGTAAATCCGTTTTTTTTTGTTTAATTGTTTGCATTATCAAATAATGAAATAATACCTAAGAGCCAAAAATAACAAACTCCATCATTATTTACACTACGTTCCGTCGTAATTTGCGTCTGGCATTGCGGCTTTGTCAGATTTTATTTTACTTTAAAGTCGCTTTTCTCATAAAAAAATGCCGTTTTGACCCCCATATTATATGAAACTTTTTGCGTCTTTTAACCCCCTCTATCACCCATTTAAATAATGACTATCATAACGTTTACACCCTGTATAATCCATCCCAACAGAATTATTCGTTTGCCAAAAATATTCGCTATGCCTCAATACAAGACTTCTATATTCTAAAGATCTTTCACATCTTTTAATACAATCTCTTTAAACGTTACAAATCGACCTGAAAAAATATGTCTCCGAAGAAGTATAAACTAAATTTGAAGCGGCATCTCCTGCGTGTGTAATTGTAATGGTTTCTAGTATTGAACTTTATTACTATTGTTTTATTTTAACATTTTTGGTGAATATGTATGTACATTTCTGGTATCCTATGTCACACAAGAGTTCAGCGGAAAAATGGCCAAGGCTAAACTATGCCCATTTATAACGCCTCGTTATACATAAATCCGTTTATTATTATTATTATATAATATTACCAAGATTTAGGCTAGATATGACCCAGACATGTAAATCCATTATTTTCTTAACAGACTCTACAACAATGGGGTTGGTTACTTTTGATACATTAAACACTTTAGCTAATAAAGCAAAAATTATCTGTTCTTTCAAAACCTAAAAAAAGTATCAAGTACCTCAAAGTTACATTTCTAACAATAGAGATGTTCAGGATACAGCTTTCCTAATTTATGACACTTTATTCAATCAATGAACCAACTTTGTCATCAGAAAACGAATAGTACATTACTTACCTCTTTGAACGACCTATAAAAATAAATTTCCACCGGACAATCGCTTATACAAAAGTTTTAGAGACATAAATAAATAATTTTGACATCCTGGCATGTTAACAAATACCTGAAGATGGATTATCCTTAGAGTTAACTACTCATTTCTATTCAAGACTTTGACTACGTGGTGGAAATCAAGGAAGGCGAAAAGATATGTTTCGGTTCTACAATCCCAAGAAGCACAGCCCCTATTGGCAAAGATTTAGCTCCTAATCAGAAACGGATAACTCCAGAAAATTTTCCTAACATAGCGCCTGGAAAATACAATAGTCAAGAATACACTTCTGCCATGTACAAAACACTACATAAGGTAATTCTTGAAAATGAGTTTGTGTTATCTTAGCACAGTTGCTGTTGACTTTAACTGTATGAGTCAAATCTTTAGACGAGTAGGTTAATCATAAATGCAGTCCAGAATAACGGGGCTTCCACTAAGCTGCCTATGTTTACACAGAATAGGTAACCAGGCGCTTAGATAGCCACAGATCACATAATAGTTTTGTGTCTAAATACTGTTCTGTACCTTGTACAACTTGGCTATAATTGTAGTCATCGTTCTTGGCGGGTCAGAGTAAGACTACCAGTATCCCTTTATATATCTCCATCTCCCTCATCCATACACATGCAACCTAAACCTGTGTGAACGATTATTCGGTAAGCTCAAAGACATACGTTTTTCATGATAGTTGTGGGTCCCCGTCTCGAAAACTTTCTTGTTAGGCAGTGCCCTTCAATCATATTTATCAGCGTGACAACTTACTTGACATCGGCGTGCTATTTGATTTGTCCTGTTATCAGTCTTCAATATAAAATTGTACAATGCTCGGAAATACAATCAATGGAGAAGGCCGACAGCTCGTGCTGAATTTATTAGAGCATTTCTAGGAAGAGAATGAAAACAGCGGTCCCCTGTTAGTTTGTTATTATCTTGTTCTTGTAACAAAGCAATCACAGAATCAAAGAATCACTACTTAGGATTAGTTTAACGTAAAAAAGCATTTATTAAAATGTTACATGACACATTTATCCACTTGTCTTCAATTAGAAATATGTTTCCTTTTCCCAATATTATTATAACTTTTTATGCGCTTATCAAGCATTCATTAGGTTTGTTCGTACAGTGGCCGGTGACTTGTCGGTGACTGTGTCTGGGATCCGGCCGTGTGAATTCGGTCTATACGTATATCAGAGTAAACGAAATTTGTGTGGCCGGAACTTGGACACGCGGACACAGATTGGCAATGTACGAACAGATCTTTATGGGTAATCATATTGTTTATGAAATCGCATATTTAGCATTTAATTCTAGATTAGGAGTAGGAAAGGGGTAGGTCCTTTAGCTAGCAAAGACAGTCGATTCAAGGAGAAAATCACATTCAGAACACCATCCCCAGGAAGATACGAAATCAGAGCTAAGCCAGACATGACAGGAAAGCAATGGAAAGCTCCTTTTTTGAATAGCAGCAAAGTGAGAGAGATGGATATCGACGACAACCCTGGGTAAACGACTACACTTATATACAGGGTGTCCGCAAAGTTGGGGTTTTCCTTTACACGACGTGTAGATCTTGAAAACATAAGCAATTTTTCTTAGTACCATATACACCAATGTCTTAAGGGAACCGAGATAAAGGGCTCTGCAATATCAAAAATATCTTAATACCGTCCTGTAGCTGCAACCCGCGACATCCCCGAGTGGTACTAAGGCACTAGCTCAACCCGACGACAGAACTGGGTCGGGGTCAGTGTGTCAGGTCAGTATGCAACCTTCAACCGACGGTTACGGTCACGCGTGTAGAGGTAAACGAACCCGTATAATCGATTGCGTTTCAAAAAACAACAAGCACTAGAGACGTGGCTAGAGAAGTATCAAAAACTAAAGTGTGGCAAACGCTGCGTGAAGAGGGGCTGTATCCGTTTCACGGCCAACGTGTACAAGCCCTTCAACCTGACGATTTTTCCAGCAAGAGTGCGGTTTTGTGAGTGGTTGTTGCATCAACATGACAATAATCCGGACTTTTTGAAGTGCATATTGGTGACAGACGAATCTACGTTCACGCGTAATGGGGTGAATAACTTTCGCAACACTCATGTTTGGTCAGTAGAAAATCCGCACGCTGTCCGTCGGGCACATTTTCAACATTTTCGGTGAATGTTTGGGCTGGCACGGTGAACGGTATGCTCATTGGACCATTTATTCTCCCAAATCGATTGGACGGGATGCAATACCTAGACTTTTTACGCAACATTTTGCCTTCCTTGTTAGAAGATGTGCCATTAAGTGTAAGACAATCAATGTGGTTTCTGCACGATGGTGCACCGCCCCATTTTAGACGCGAAGTGCGTGAGTTTTTGAATGAATTATTTCCGAATAGGTGGATCGGACGTAATGGACCCGTAGCGTGGCCTCCGCGATCTCTAGACTTAACACCATGTGATTTTTTTCTTTGGGGAGAAATGAAACGCTTAGTGTACAAAACTGAAGTGCATACGGTTGACGAACTTCGTCTCAGAATTGAACAAGCTGGTGCTTTCATTCGGGGGAGGCACTCCATTCTCAAAGCCTGCACCGATGCTTGGCTACGTCGTGCACGCACCTGTGTTTTTGAATCAAACGGCGAGAACTTCGAACAATACCTATAAAGTACGTTTACCTAAAAACTGAAAACGCGGCAACGCCGTCGTATTTGTTACCTCTGTTCGTGGTCTGCACCACCCCCGGCATCTGCTCGGTAGCGCATCAGCTGATTTCATTTTCTGTTGGAGCGGTATGATTTCGGGCAGAGACGTACTTAGCCCTTCTCGTCAACTGGAGAGTGAGTACTTTTTCCTTTATTTTTTTTACTTGATCGCCCTCGTTTCACTACACATTACCTTTGCTATTTCAAGGGTAGTTGTTTCTGAAAAGGAAAACCCCAACTTCGCGGACACCCTGTATTTCCTATCAGTTTTTGCGTTTTCTTACAATATTTAGTTCAATACCCTCTACCCCCTACTAAGCGGGGTCGTTGCAAATGCTTGTTCCGGAAGTTGTTGCATCCTTCCCGTTCAAGTGACTGTACATGCATTAAAGAATATCTCACTATCGATTAAGGCTAAGACGAAAGTGCTTATCAAGATCTTTTATGCCAACTCCATCATGGTCGTCACCCCAACGCCCGAGTGCCGTCCATTCTAAAGTTCACTACAATTCCTGCGTAACTACAACTACTATTCGTCATTGTCTGTCAGAGCGGTCCGTAGGACCTTTGCTCTTGGTTGAAGTCTTGTAAGTCAGTAGGTCTGTCAGGTCTGGTTGCCCAGATACCAAACAAAGTCAGGTAGAAAGAAGGGAAGAAGAAAGGAAGGAAGGAAGGAGGGAGAGCAAAGAAAAAAGAAGTGCATCAATTTGAGGGGTACCTTGGTATTGCTAGTTAGTATTCGGCAATTTTAAATTGATCCTAAAATTAATTTTGGGTTTGGTTGTTGAAGAAAAATTATAATTTTGGTTGGACCTAAAGTCGCACGATTTAATTTTGTTCACAGTGCGAGTCGCGGCCTGTATGCTTGCGAACTTGCTCGACTGTGTAGTCTACTGACTCGCGCAACAAAGGGTTGTTATGCGATTCTGCTTGACTGTAACGTAGCTGCGCTTGTTGTTTGATGTAGTCCCTTAGGTAAGGGATTTCAAGGTCTCTGTGAAGGGTCTCGTTGGAAACATACCATGGGGTGTTAGTGATTGTACGCAAGGTTCTGTTCTGCAAAACCTGCAGGCTACGCAAATGCGTTTTGGCGAGAAAACACCAAGCCGCACTTCGTAAGTGATCGCTGGTCTAATAACCATCTTGTATAGTCGAACTTTGTTGATCAAACTTAATTTTGATGTTCTACATTGCATAGGGTAGAGTTGCCGAAACGAGATTTGGAATTTAGTTTTTAACGCTTCAGTGTGCTTCTGCCAGGTTATCCCCTTGTCAAGAGTGACACCGAGATACTTAGCAGAGCTTTCCCATGGTACCCGAGCTCCATTCACTGAAACCTCAGACGGGGCGCCGCTACGTTTTTTAGTACAATAGATTGCCTGCGTTTTCGAATGATTAATTTTGATCAGCCACCGATTCGCCCATTCCAATACCTCGTCCACTGCACTTTGCAGCCTGTCGTGAACTAGATCCTCACAGCACGACTGGGCCACCAGGGCAGTGTCATCAGCATAGAGATAGGTTTCACAGCTGCTGGGGCAAGGGACGTCATGAATAAAAAGTGAATAAAGGACTGGTCCAAGAACCGAACCCTGAGGGTACCGGCTTTGATGGGCCGTGTTGTCGACAGAACGTTATTAATTTTGATCCGAAATTTCCTACCATCGAGAAAGGTTTTCAAAAGGTTTAGGAGCCAGAAGGGGAAGCCTTTATGGATCAATTTATAGAGAAGGCCCTTGTGCCACACCTTGTCAAATGCCTTTGAGACATCCAGTAGCAAGATGCCAGTACTTTCGTTACGGGTGAACCCCCTAGTTACTCGTTCAACAAGCCTTATGGCCTGTAGCTCCGTACTATGCTCAGACCGAAAGCCAAATTGCACGTCAGGAATCACATTGTGGTCTGCCGAGAAATTTTCAAGGTGACGTAGAATCACCTTTTCAGCGAGCTTAGAAGGAGCTGACAGTAGACTAATGGGGCGGTAATCCTGGGGGAATATCGAACCCACCTTCTTTGGAATCATTATGACATCAGCGGTCTTCCACGCCGTTGGGATGTGCTGGGTCCTTAGCATGGCATTGATTATTGCCACGAGATAAGTTAAGGACTTCCGCGAAAGTAGCTTCAGCGCCTTATTAGTGATTCGATCCTCTCCAGGTGCTTTACGCACCTTGAGGTCTTTAATATGACCTTGGAGCTCTGCTGGTGTGCAATGCGGAGTCTCAGGAGATTCCGCTGATGTGCCGTGCAGCTCTTCAATTGAGGAATCTTCTGAAGATTTCTCTGAGAAAAAATCACTAAGGGAGGCACTACCGCCACTGACGCCGTTGGCCCTAAAATATCTCCTGACGAATCTTACAATATGTTGCTCCTCGTCGAGGTCATTATCAAGGTCATAGTTGGGAGATTCCATTGCATCAGCGAAAACCTCGTCCTTTTCCTCTGTCCTACAGACTATGCCCCTAGGACCGTGGATGTGCGGGAGTTGTTCTCGCTTTCCGTTTCTGAGCGATTTTGCAACTTTCCAGAGAGGAATACTTGAGTCAAGCATCCCAGACAGAAAGTCGCTCCATTGCTCATTACGGAATTCATGAAGAGCATTTCTCACTTCATGAACAAGATTCGTTGCTCTGTGAATGTCATCTGGATGACAACACCTCTTCGCTTGCTTAATTGCAGCTCTTTTGTCAGAAATTTTCTGACGAATGTCTGCAGGGGTAACTACAACTGTTCTGCTGGATTTGAGAAAGGCATTTGACTGTTTAAACTACAAAATGTTATTAGCTAAGTTGCACTTTCTTGGTTTTTCTGAGAACTCGATTGCATGGTTTGACATTTGCCTATCAGATCGACTTCAACAAGTTAAAATAGGATACTGACAAACGGGTCATTGTAAAGGGGGTGCCGCAAGGTTCCATTTTAGGACCAATGTTATTTACTATATGCGTGTCGGACTTGGATCGGTCGGTCAAACATTGCACTTTACATTCTTATGCTGATGATAACCAGCTTTATCTATCTTATGATCCCTCCTCATATGTTGTTGCTAATGAATAAACTAGCAGTTGATTTAAGCGGATTTGCGATTGGTTTAGATAGCTCGGGTTACACAAACTGTAGCAAATCGGCCATAATTACCTTCCGCTCTAAGAAGAACGAGTTGAGTGGAGATGCTATAAAGCTATGCCTCAATAGTGAAGAACTCACACACAAAATATCGGTATTAAACTTAGGAATAATTTTTGATGAGCACTTAACTTTTCATGATCATATTCCTAAGGTTGTAGAGAGCTCTTTTGATACACTAAAAAGCATATACAGCATTAAGCACGTGTTGTCTCAAGATACTAAAATTAAGCTTTGCGATTCAGTCGTTTTAAGTAAGATAGAATATGAAAGTTCCGTGTTCGGTCCTTGTTTGACTCAAGCCGAAGCTTACAGACTTCAGAAAGTGCAGAACAACTGTATCAGAGATTCTGTTGGAATCCAAAGAAGTGAGCGAGTGTCTCCATTTATTCAAAAAGTTAATTGGTTGACGATGAGACAGAGGTGGCTGGTTCACAATTTATGCTTGGTTCATAGCATTTTAATGACCAAATACCCGCATCTCATCAATAGCGGCAAGAAAAGAGCTAGGATATTTGTTTAGGGCTAAGAAATACTTTCCTCTGCATGACCTCCTCACTCTATGCAAGGCCTAGATAAGACCTAGCCTCGAGTATTGCTCACGCGTTTGGGGTGCTGTCGCCCTGACGACGTTATTTATGCTATATGCTGTCCAGAGGAGGACTACCCGACTGATCAATGACTCTTCTTCGAGACCCTTCCGCACCGGCGGGCCGTAGGCGATCTAGCTCTCTTCTACCGCTACACCAACGTGCATCCTAACCGTGTCGAACGTCGTACATCCAGAACTGGCCGATACGACCGCTCATTTGCCCCGAGGGTGTCGAGATTGTGGAACAATCTACAAGAGGATGCAAACTGGCCTTCTGAAGCATCTTGTCAATCTCAGCGAGAAACTGACATTACGGTACTACAATACAGGATGTCCTGAAAGTTGGGACTTTTCTATTCAGGAACAATTGCGTTTGTAATAACATAGCAATGTGTGGTGTACCAACAGCGAAAAAGTAAAAAAAAAATAAATGAAAATGCGCTCACCGTTCATGGAAAATAAATCTCAAGTACAGCTCTGTCACTTGTAAGGATTGTTCAAATTTGTCTGCGATAGATTCAAAGACACAAGTATGTACTCGACGTAGCCAAGCATCAGTGTAGGCTTTAAGAATGTGAACTGCCTTTCCCGAATAAATTTCTAATTTCTAATTCTAAAAAATAAATCACGAAGGATCTTGAAAACGATCCGCATGCACTCGCGCAGCCTCGGTAGCATTTCGAAGACATTCGCCTTAAATTAAATTAATATGTTCAACTCCGATATTGTAGGAGTCTACTACTTTTGTTTTGTTTTTTAGAACCGATGTGCAAAAGTTTTATTTTCCAACGCGTCCAGCGCATGGATTGAGTTCTGATGTGCATCGTACGTGTTCACTTTTGATCTGATCAAGATGCAGTACTGGATTAAGTTTTGTTTAGGTTTGATTTATTCTTCATAGCCCAACATCTCGTGAATCTTATGACTTTGATGTATATGTCACTAGAAAAAACTACTCATTTTTTCAAGATCTATACTTCGAGGAGACCCTGTATAATTGCAATAAAACACAGCTATCCTAACCGAATAACAATTTATTCACGATATTACACTTGAACTGAAACAAAATACCAAATAAATCTAAATCAAGAGTCAAGACGATCACGCTAAGAAAACGAATGTTGAAATACAGTAAACGAACGGTTCATATCCCCGATTTAGGTACTCTTACTCATTTAAAATAGATAGTTCATAGTTATTTCCCTGGAGAAAAAGAAGCATATGTGGTATTCAGACTATAATACCATATAATGGAAAACCAAATTTGTCTGACGGCTTGAGATCCATAAATTCACAATTCAAAAAAGTGTACGCTCAAAATAAAACCATTATTTGGTATTATTGCGGCAGATTGCCGCCTCAGCTAACCAGCCGGCTTCTATCTCTTTTTAATATAATTATGCGTCTCTATACACTTCTCTCTCGTACACATTGAACTCAAGCCGTCAGACAAATTTGGTTTTCAGTGTATGCATGTACCAAACTTCATACAGATCCGTTCAACCATTTTGGAGTGGTTAAGTATTAAACGTCCACACTTTCTCATTTATAATATTAGTAATATAGTATATATATATATATAGTAGGGATTATTACATTACGAGAAAGTTATATTTTTCTCTCAGTCCAGGAACATACGATCTGAAAAGGATCAATAAAAGCCACCGTACTAGATATGTGTACAATTTCGGACATCCTGAAATGATACATTGTGTAGAAACAGTCTGCGTTTCCAAGCCACAAGACTCATGTATGAAGTGCGAGAAACTATGCGAAGGCGACTACTGGCATAAGGAGTATTCCACCTTCTTGTGTCAGATGTGTTGGTACGAGGAGAGAATGACCCAGGAAACTTTTACGGAAAAGGAATTGAAAGAATTTAAGGTAATGTCACCTAGGTTTAACTGTGATATTTTTCAAGAAAAAAAATTTTTCGCCAGGATATTTCATCCTCCAAAAAATATATTCTGGTTGATTATCACTTTTTTCGATTATTTTAGGTGTAGAAGCACAATATTATAATATTCGTTATTTTTAAAAATCTTATTTCGATGAGATATCAATATTCTGCTTTCAAATATATATATTGGAAGCAAAACTTGCTCTCCAAAGTTCAAACGCAAAATTTCAGGCCAAAACTGATAGCAGAAAAACCAAAATATGCAAGAATTTGATCCAATGTTTTAGAAAAGTAATGACTTGAGAAACGAAATATAGGCTCCATGGTTGGTACTGCCCCACTTGACTTGGAAAACAAACGCAACTAAGTTATAACGTTACGTAGTTTGTTTTCCCACGCCATGTCCTTAAAGTGTGATCCCCCTTTTTACCATGAAGGATATGCTTCTGTCCGAGGCCAAGAAAGTAACCATAATTATACGACGTTGACAGTTTGACAGAAAATATATGTACTCATATTCAATCGGTAACTAGAATAAAAATCAAATTCTATTAGCTGAATACTGCATGAATTTCAAATACTTTTTTCCAACACAGCAACGGAAATACGGAATATGGATATAAACAATCCGTCCACAACGCTAGATATTCCTTGTCATAAATTAACAAGACTGGTCTGCCCAGAACCCAAAAAGCATGGGTTCGAATCCACCTTGGGAAATTTGTCTCCATTGTTCCATAGATTTGCAGTTTAGAAAACTCGTTTTCGTTTCAGAAAATAAGGAACTGCTCCTTCATGCATGATCACGAGAAGACGACGGCTGCTTTGAAAATCTTGCCTCAAAATAAAATCAACAAGAAGATAAGACTAGAAAACTATTTAGATATGTACATCAAATGCTGAACACAACATAGCAGTAACTATTTTTCCACTTATACAATATAAAAAGTAATAAAGCTGTCGATATAGTACAATACTGTCTGATTTCCTAATTACAAACAGATTCATAGATAATAGCCACTATAATAACATAGAAAGTATATCCTTTTCATCCACCCAACGACAATGGTCTACTCTCGTTCGAAGTGTTTGTCAAATAACCTTGCGAAATTAATTTCACCAGACTATTATTTGCATTAATTCCACCCGCCGACATCGAGCGCGGATCCAGGGGGGTCATGGGGATATGACCCCCCTGGGCGACTTTCAAATCTCTTTGTTGATTTCAATAAAATAAAGACTTTTTGCAAACATGAAATGGATACAAACGGGTAAAAATCACCAGATTTGGTAAAAAATTACCAGGCAACCATGATCAATTTATAATCGCATCGATGATGGCGTGGAAATAAGAGGGTTGCGTACGTCTGGTTACCGTTCCGCTTGACACAAATAAAAATAATATAGTGATTCGGTATTTTCGGCTTGGTAGCACTGCATGTCCGTCAATGCATTATTGGAAATTGAGCCTCATGTGTTCTGCGATTAAGGTAGTCAATTGAAAATTTTATAAAAATACTTTTTGACAAACAAAATTAGAGAAAAGCGGTTTCATTTGGTGGAAATGAGATAATAATCAGTGAGCATCAAATGTAAGAGTTAAACATACCAATACTTCTTTATATTTTTCATTTTTTAACTTAGCATGATGGTTTCGTCTTAGTTTAGTCGTGCTCAGCGTTTTTCAGAAACATGGGGCAAGAATTCAATGGGTAACCCTTGGAACTATTCTGAAACTACTGCATCCGATTTGCGAAACACCTCTTAATTCCGGAGAAACAGACACCTAAAGGAGACGTCGTTAGAAATATTTTTTTCTTAAATAATTTTCACATATCCTCGCTTAAGTTTTAACATCGCGTAATTAAAAAAATGGCGACATCAAGATATGCATGTCATTTGATAGAGGATACCGTTTTTTGCTCTTTTAAAAATTTATTAGTTTTGAGTCACGCTGTGTTAGGACTTATGCGACGATATAATCCAGCGAAAACTATCAACTAGTTCGCCAGAGACGAACTGGATATAAACGCAACATAATGCTAATTTTTTACACCTTTGTACAATAAATTAAAAATAATATCTTTGGAAATTGGAACGTGCCTTGAATGTTGACTGTTCCATCTACATCAATGTAATGCTACCTGCGGTTGTTTCAAGAAAATTATTCATGTTTGATTTCGAGATATCGATTATCGGTTGATAAACCGTCTTTAAGAAAAAACATCCGTGGTTTTTCAAGTCGCTGATCACGGATCTGTTATGAGAATTACCAAATTTTCGAAACAGGTTAACCAGTATTCGGAAACGGTTCCATAATTTACGAAACTGTACCAAAATAATATGGCTGTTCAATTCCAAAACTCCACATTGTTTTTTCAGAAACCCTCGACTCGTTTCTTAGTTTTCACAACGTGAGATATGTAGCGTCAGAAAAAAACACGAATACGAGTACATTCAACAAGTGTATTTCAAAAAAATGTCAATTAATAACTAGACAATAAAAATATAAAGAATATATGTATATCTTGTAGATCAGATCATGTTTAATAAAAATCATATAAAACATGCTTGGTTTGCAAGATGTGTTTGTTTTACACAATTTTCATATCAATCTTAATAATCAGGAAGTTTTTAATGAACGATATCGTGTGTATTCTAAATTTTTACTTTGCAAGTAGTAGAACAATTTGATAAGCGGCATAAATGTATTCGAATTCAAGTACAGTGTGTTTGCAAAACCTGGGTAAAACCAACAGGTGCTTCAAATACAGCAGGGAGGTGATCTAGACTACTGTTACAGGATCTAATAGCATTAAGAAATAATCCTATAGTGAACGAATTCGACGAACTATAACGGGCAATTTTATTTTTGTGTCCTAACTGGAAGTTATATATTGGAGCTTCAACTGCAATTTTAACTTACTCAAAAACGTCACTGTATCATCTATAATATGTATGCTGCCAACGTTTTGGTCAACTCGTAACATTTTTCAAAATACAAATCAGAGAAGTGGCAGTGACAACGGCTAAGATGCTAAGATCGAGGGAAACCATCAACAATTTTCAAAAAGAATCGTGAATGGTTAAAAACTCACATTTTAAATGTTTCTCTTAGAAAACAGGTATATCAAAAACAAACACATCTCACTTATGAAAAAGTCACTATAAACTAACAATACTTTAGAATTAATAAAACAAATAATTTAGGTCAGCAGATTCTATTCACTCCGACTGACCATAGTACAACTAATAAAAACTTCTTTTAGCCTAATCATGCTACTAATCTTTACAAAAATAATATATCATGCTTAAAGCTACCTCATTTTATATCATACTGTAGATCGGAATGGATATAAATAAAATGCAATACAAGTAGAGTAATATCTTCAAATCTTTCTAACAAAGCTATGTATCTATCTTTTGAATGTATTATTTTATAACACTCATTATACCAACAAACATTGTGCTTTTGGATATCCTAGCAAAGTCTGTTACAAAAATAGTATATGTATGAAGCCAATTTTATGTTGCCTTTGCCAGGCAACCCTGCTGCAATCTGTTATATTATGTATCATTCATAAACAATTAGGTTTAATCAAAAAAATCGAAAAAACAGATAACTGTTTGGTGTCGTTTTTTTTTCTCTTTGCGCCTGTTCTCCTGGTATATGGGCCCCATCCTCAGGTCCAAAGGGATATTTAAGATCACATAAGCCAAAGTCGTTTCAAGATTAACTTTGGACAATCAGTCATCACTGGTTTGGGCTAAATTTACAGTTATGTGTTTTGGATTGATCCTCTTTTTTTCAATTTCTAGACTGCTAATATGAGGCGTTTCGGTAGGATAATAGATATATATATATATATATATATATATATAGTTTCACTAAATACCTAGTCATGATTTTCATGTATAAAATAGAAAATAATTTATTGCCATCATATCTATCTGCACTAACTTCCGTAAATGTCGACAATCATTTTTAAGATATCAGACATGGGATGGTATATATATATAGGTATATATATATGATTTGCCATTTAATAATAAAATAATTCCGTCCTAATCGAACCTCATCGGTCCAGTTTTTTATTCGTCGACTATGACTATAAGAAATTCAAGGATATTTCTCCTTACAGTTAAGGCAATCAACTATGAATAATATATATATCATCCCATGTCTGATATCTTAAAAATGATTGTCGACATTTACGGAAGTTAGTGCAGATAGACATGATGGCAATAAATTATTTTCCATTTTATAAATAAAAATCATGACTAGGTATTTAGTGAAATTTTTAATATTAAGCCTTTTTAACGTAATGAGCATTTGATTTATTGGAGCATATTTATTTTTATTTAGTATTATTGTCATACATATATTGTGTAAAATTTCTGATCTTTGGAAAACGGAGTCATTTGTGCTACACAAAAAAGAGATACATGAAAATGTTGAGTACTTACATAAATTAAAGTATCCTCAGCAAAAATTTGGATTTCACAGTTTTTTAGTATACTGGGAAAACCATTTACATAAAAGATAAAAAGAAGTAATGTAAGACCTGAAACTTACCCTGTGGTTTTCATGCTGCATCTTTGCTAGCTGCTAAATGAAACCACAAATGTTTTAGTTACTGTTTTCTGATACGAACGTTTAGGGCACCACTTTTTCAAGTACAAATGACAATTCTCAATTACAATGGATTGAAAAGGCCACAGGGTTTCACTTATCAGCCACACACATGTAGGATTAACCCATCTTGTAACAGACTTCTCTTGAATATCATTATTTATGCTATATCCACGTATATCAATAATTATTATATCGTATAACGAATCGTATTCATATAAGGGCATATTAAAATCCTATGTTTCCTAAGTTTTTTGGAAGGATTTAAGGGATTCTGGGCATTTTCCTAATAGTTGCAATTAAGGCTACAATTCACATATAAAGGGAAATATTGCTAAACTCGAAGTTTACTGACATTTCAATGAATTAGTAATCAATTAATTGATATTTCTTCTTAGCACCTACTAATTGTCATAGAATGCATTACATCAACGAATCAACGTATAACAGAAGATTTTATATTTTTTATAATCATTTAATTTTATGCTACATATAACAATTTATAGTACAGTATAGTAGTAAATAGCAGTATACGACTATGCCAGATACCAGGTGTCACAAATCGAATAAAACATCGACAAATTCACTGAAACCTAAAACTAGTGGTGGCAGATATTTCACGAACTGTGGTTTTGCAACTGATATTTCTAAATCACAACTGTTACCAAATCCCGTGAAAAGGCGTGACTTTGCCGCGGAGCACCTAGTTCACGACTCGTGAGAACATCACGGCACTAATATTTTTGAAAGCGAATGATATGCGCATGCGTGCTCCAGTCGCTTTATAGGTTTGGCGATTTTATCACGCTATTATACTCAGGACATCACTATACCCATAACCGCAGAGGTATCACGTATTCTGAAAAGTGACATTTCTGTTTTTTTCATTATATAGGTTTTTTGTGACAGTATGTAGGTTTTTCTACAAGGTGACAACTCAGAACTAGATGTTGTTCCTTGATATGCACTCGATCTGTAGCTGTACGTGTTGCCTAAACGTCATAAGGCTTCAAATATCAATGTTTGGCTCTAATGTAATGTAGCATCTGAGATGGCATTATTGGAGGTCCAAAGTATAAATAAGTTGTATACTATAGGTGGAAGGAAACGGAAGTTCAAAGGTGCAATACCGTTGGTTTCTTGTCTCAAATACACTTACTTGAGATGTATGCAAAGCTAAAAATTAGTTGAACATCCACTTTTTCTAATTCATCCTGGAAATTATATACGCAAATTTGCTGAATTAAAAAATGAGAGAGATGTGAAGCACTGCGAAAATGTTATGTGTGATGCGTCTTTCCTAATTTTTTTGTGATGTGGCTTAATTACACACAACGCGGGAGCGGCAGTGACTTCCCGTAATGCTTCTACAAGGTTTTGAAATCCAGCGCTCATAGCGGAATGAACTATTTGCATACTAGGAACTATCTAGTCAGCAAGTTGACATTTTGTTGGATTTTTTCACATTATATAGATATTTTAGGTAATAACCCTGCCGAATCGTTATTCAAAACTCGTAAAACATCACGCTTTTAAATGAGTGACATGAACAAGTAACGATATGACAGATATTCAAAAGTAACGATATCGCCCATCCCTATCTTTAGTCACGGAAATATCCAATTTGAGTCATATTTTTTAAGTATATGTTGCGGTGGAAGACATTTCACGAACTGTGATTTAGTAACTGATATTTATAAAACACAAATCTCCCTCCACTGTTACCAAATACCGTGAAAAATAGTGACGTGATCACAACTTCGGGAACTAGGTGTTTCAGAACAACGGCGAATAGCATCATGGTATCACGGCGTTAACGTTTGAGATGCGCATGCGCTCTGGACGCTAAGGTCGAGATTATACCACCGTAAGACTACTATGGCCTTCTATGTGATATCGTGCCTTATAAGCTTTGGTTATTGGCTCTATTCGGTTTCATCGAGGTATTTTGCTCAGGATATCAGTATGGTCATGATCTCATCGTCGTGATCATTTCAGGGTTATAAATCACTGATACCAAAAAGTAACAGTATCAGATATCACAGATATTCAAAAATAACAATATCGGCCTTTTCTAATATATAATGAGGTTAGAACAACCACGGTTGGTTTGCGCCCATATTGCATCATGATACGAGTAATACAATCATGATACTGCATCTTTTGTTGAAAAGTTTTACACGGTTATCCCGTCTTTATAGTGTCATGACGAATAAAAGTCTTTGGAATGTCAGTATATCAAAAAGGTTATTTCAAATCTATATTGAATACCTTTCAACTAAACACTGTGATCCTAGAATCGAAGAGTAACAAAAACGTACTCGTTTTTTCAGGATCCCAGTGAAAAATTTCTTGTTGAATTTATAAAAATGTAATTTACTCATTATAAAATTCTCTAATACCAACGTTTCATATTCAAAACATATAATTTTGCCTACTAAATTAAACTCAAGTGACAAATTGGAATAAGACAAGTTTTAGCTTTTGAAGCTCTATCACAAACGGCAATACTAACATGTTTATAGTGAATCACTATAGCAAAAAAGCTGAAACAAACATTGCATTTCATGTTATGGTTCCAGACCATCAATATACGACTGAAAGGAGTATAAACGATCTTCAACGATCTTCAAAGATCGTTTATCGCTTATTTAATGACTTTTTGTCACTTCTTACAGTCAAAAAATAATTGCATCAAAAAGTGAACATTTCAAAAATATCTAGCTGCCTGAAAAGCAAAAGAGAAAAAAAAACATATGTGGATGAAAAGTATAAATAGGTAACCAAGCCAAACATTATGACGTATTAAATTACCTATGAATCATAAGTAGGTATACTTTTCAGCTTATAATATTTTCTCTGACGCATAGTAGGACTTAAAGACTAATAATAAACGTAGTACCGATTGGTATTACGTAACTGATCAGCGTCAAAGAATATCTAAATAATTAGGTTCAACTAATGAACTCACAGCAATATTTGAAGACCTGAGGTGTTACTTAAAAAAATGTTATTACGAATTAAAGATTTCGTATATGCCGCGATCTTCTGACTAGGATACAGCTGGATGTCAACCCGCAAGAAAGCTTCGCCAACTGGGATATATTCACAGATCTTCTTGGATAGTCTATTTTTTCGCCGAATATCTAAAACACAACAAAGAAAGATATGAACCAAGCCATAGAAACCTAAAAAAGTGGAAACCGAATAAGATAGGTTTGTTTTCCGCCTCTTCGACCATAACCAACTATATACAACGTTGTTTCATGCTTTTAGCAATCATCGGTACGACACTGCCCAACTAACAATTATCACTCCTATTAGAGTTGCAGGAATGATTATACAGTATTCCTTAAACAGCATTGATACTGTAAGAACATTGGCAAAATCCTCTTAGAATAGCTATACAAGCGGAATGGACACCTCTAATAGGACACTTCAGTCATTTAAGAGGTTGTATAAGGTCTGCAGGTAACAGTTATAAAACAAAAGTGTAAGCCTCTTGCAGCCGCTATAGGATATTTACGTCAGTGCAAGATTCAGTTTTTGTCAACTATACAACTATTCTGTTACGTGATTCTACTTTATTGCAACCAAACTATTTCTTATGTATTGTGTAGACGAAGTGAAGAATATACAACTAACACATTACAGTCATCTTGTTTACTTACATATCGGCCATTGTGAATTTCATACACAGGTATATGATAAACTTCTACACTCTGACATAGGGCTATTGAATTACTTGCGCAGCAAATTTTATTGTGATTATCGTGCAAATTAGTTACCCAATTTCTACGGGCTTCGTATTTGATTCATATTTTGACAATGATCAAAAGTATGTCTAGATTTTTAAGATGTAAAACTGAACTTCTGCGTTAAATCTTCCACAAATCCTATATTTAGACACAATTACACTAATGTGTATCACTTTATATCTGTAATTTCGAACTGAAACATAATTATTTAATATTAAATAGAGGAATAAATGTTTGCCCAATATGGCGGGTGGTTGTGTACAATCATGGCATCGTCCATGTTGACTTTAGGTTATTAGAATATTTTGGTGTTGCCTGCAGGTGCAACAATTTGACAAATGTCTGAAATGAAATACCGACAGAGTCGAATGATTTACCCAGAATTTGTACCACATCTATATCTTCTGTTTGAACAGTTGATAAAACCTTTTGAACCAATATGCATGCGTTGTTTGTCTTAAAACATTGGTTATGGCATTTTAACAAATATGACAGAAAATTAGGTTATGGTGAAGTTGTTTACCAACATATTTAGCATAATATGTAGAGCCTTTAACAGTTACTAAACAACAGTTGTATAAGTGTTTCCGTTGGGAGCAATTTGTTGGCTAAGGTAGTAAATTGCACAGCAAAACAACAAGGCTCGGGTTGGTTCTATAATGGATGCCACAACACAAACATTTTGACTAACTTGCAAATATGCCGTATAAAGTAGTTGTATAAACGTTTATGCAACAGTTAAAAATTTGCCCTATAAGGTGTTGTATAACTATGCTATAAGAATATTTTAAACACCTCATTTTAGAGCAAATATGTTGCAGAAAGCAAATTTGCATTCCACACAACATTAAGCCAGCATTTTGGTGTTCAGGCAACAACAATAGAGAGCTTTCATGGCTGAACGGTTCTTTTACTAAAAGCTTATACCACTACTTTGCTAGTTGGGTGGTCGAGTCAATTGAAGAGGAGCAAACAAGGGGATATGGGTCTACTGACAATTGTAGTGTGCGAAAAATAAGGATGCCACTTCCACCTATGAATAGTTCCAAAAATCCGGACAAGGTCGTCCACCACATAGGCGTCCCATCGTCACTCATGGTAATAAAAAGTATTCACCATGCTGCCAGCATTGACATACTATGGAAAAGTATTAAGCATAAACTGAACACAGGCTGTACAGGATCGGTCACTGAAATGCCAGGAAACTGGTTTTCTGTTACCGAACGTACGGTAGCACCGCGATTGGCAAACTACTACTCGTATACTATAGGTCACCTCTATTTTTCGCAAACTGCCAGTACTATTGAGCCAATTAGACATTGACAAAAAGTATTCACAGTAACCCATCAACTATACAGGTAAATAAAGGACAGTGAGCATATTGATTACACTTCAATTCTTACACATTGTTTCGTGGTTTTTAGCGCTCGTCAGGACCAGTATTCTCGTTCTTTAGCTTGAAAGCGCTACGTTTTCGAACCGCTTAGCGAATCATGCTATAGGTAAAAGCGTAGAGCGTTTGGTTTAGGTATTCACAGTGTACGTCAAGTTGGTAGCTTCCACTAACAAAGAAACGCAATGGATACAGTATCTAGAAAAAGAATGCCACGTTCATTCAAGCATCTGTATACTAACTGACAGTTTGCTTTATTCATTGACATTAAGAGGTGGTTAGAAAATCAAATTATTTTATAAAGAAGTCTCACTGTTTCATTACTATTATACAAGGTGGCCAATATGTAAATGATTAATTTAAATTGCGCGCCATTTTTGATACCCGTATTTCAGTAGGTGGCGCCGTAGTAGTTGTTTAAAGCACATGTGTCCAATTCATCATGGAACCCTACACGATCCCACAACGCGTCCGTAGTGTTAAAACGTTTTACTTAAATAATGTGCCCAGTTGGTGCGGAAATTTGAATAAACAGGTGAGGTTAAAGACTTGCCAAGGTCGGGCCGTGTTCGAACTGTTCGTACTCGGGAAAATATCGAGAGAGTTCGTGAAAATGTAGTTGAGCGGCCTGGAACGTCTACCAGACATCGTTCTCAAGAACTGGGTATTCGTCGCACGTCATTATGCACTTTAAAAAAAAAGTCTTGCATTTGCGGCCATACAAAATTTAGTTAACCCAAGAACTACAGCCTAGTGACCATGAAAGTCGCCAACAATACAGTCATGCAATATTGAAGCTTAATACTCAAAAAACGATGTTTACAGACAACTGATAATGAGCGATGAAGCCCACTTCGATATGAACGGATTTGTTAATAAGCAGAACTGTAGAATCTGGGCATTAGAGAACCCTCGTGTCATCCATCAACGACCAGTACATCCTCGTCGAGTCTCAGTTTGGTGCAGTGTTTGGTATGGAGATGTCATTGGCCCTCACTTTGAAGATGCTGCAGGTAATTCTCTTACTGCCAATCGCGAGCGCTACCGTGATATCGTGGTTACCTTTCCACTATGTACTGGAAACGTATTCAATTATTATATCAATAACACCCATACACTATAGATATCAATAAAAAAACAGACAGCGATAACCAAAACTTAAACCACTTAGTAGCCATGTTTAAGTCGACAAGCGATTTTTAAAAACGCTAAGCGTAAAATAAATTTGAAAACCGACTTGAAATGCTTTGCATTTTGAAGAACAAGAATACTGGCCCAGTACGATATAGGTCTAGATTTAGAGAGACAAACGGAAAGCAAACATGTGGGTATCATCTTTTGAACAACGCAGTATGTTTTTGCGAACACCAAGAATTTATTTGTGTGCGAGCTCTAATAAATATATATATATTAATTTGTCACTCGGACTTTTTTACATACAATTCGATGCCGTTCTGGCCGCCATCTTTTTTGTAATAATATAGGAAAATCATTCTTTTTCATAACATCCAAAAAGCAACAAATCCATAGCTGGCAACAAGAAAGGAAGCAGGACTACTTTATACACTGTACCTTGAAAGATAAAGGTATTTCCTCGATACTTCTATGTACAAGAGTACCATTCAAATACAGTACGTTAGCAGCGTCATCTTCCGGTAATGTTAATGTCTGGTAGCTGTAAGTCGCTTCTCTTTCCATCCTTTTCAACACTTCCTGAGCTTCTTTTCCTGTACCCACGCATAATAAATCTGGACCGCCCATGGTTACGTACGATTTTAGATGTTTAGGTTCGGGAACCTACAAATACCATCTTTCTTTATGCTAAAATGCATGCCAAATTTTAATCGATATTCCCAATATGTAGTTATATCCCAAATACAAAAAAAAAAAAACGGAGAGAATGCAATTCATCCACAAAGCAGAAAATAATCTTTTATCTGGATTAATCACATCCAAAAGTCATAATTTTTATTTCTAAGTAATGCGTAATATGAGGGTTTTTTAATTCCATTGAGTTCACAACAGAAAACCTGTTCAAAGCTTGAATAATTAAATTACGAAGGAATGTCGAATAGGTGCCTTTTCAGGCTGATCAAGGTAGAAAGTATTATGTAAGTTTGATTCACTACTTAGATATTCTTCCAAATTAGAAAACTATATGTTATATTTGAATTCACCAAACTAACTATTAATTATTAGAAATCATATTAAAGTGCCAATTCTTACATATGGATCACATAAAGCATATAGCAGCAATATAACAAAAATAAATAAGCTTGATTATTTCAACAAACTCTGAAATTAAATCGGAGCATGTAAAAAAACTTAGAAAATGAAAAATAATAAATATATAAAACAATACACCTTCACGAAAAACAAGATAAGAATTTCGTAAAAATAAGCTTTTAGCTATGCAAAGATAAGTTTACAAACATTTAATATACGTAACGTATCGCAAATGCGTAATAAATGCAATTTTTGGTCGAATCCTACAAGTATACTTTGGTTATGCTCTTATCAGGAAAATCATGAGTACAATTTTTTGATCAAACTACGAGATAAAACAACAGCAAACCTTATCCAACTACTTACTGAATTTCCTTTCAAGCAATCTATGGTTTCAAGATTCTCATTCAATTTTGGCAAATAAGCTATGCTCACCGTTGGTCTACCCACTACAATACTTCAATTCAAAAAGTAGAGGACTAACGTGACGAAACACTCGAATGAATATGTCTTATCAAAGATTTAATATATCCATAGCAGCTGTTTGGTAGTCATTAAGCAAAATATAATAATTCTAACAATTCCTATGATGCTTTAGATAGCTCAATTGTTTCAATAGATCTGTTCTAGCCATCATTTGTAAACCCAATCGCCATATTCAACTGGCCAAATCAAATGTCGGAAAAATGTTGCTCAGCTCAACTTAAAATTGGTTAGTCATTTTCAACCGTTGACAACGGAAAGAATTCCTTGACAGGCACGTCCCAAATAATTCAATGACATTATACTCTGTGGCAACTTTTGAATGATCCTAAAATATGAGTTTCAAATTAGTGACCATAACTCTAGTGAGACATAAATGAAACAAATCATCAGAATAACATTGTTTCAAATGTTTAGAAACATAGAATTCTTGTACAACCAATATTTAACTCCAACGGTTTCCCAGGTGTATATACAAAGTCTGTAAATTAAGTGACAAGTCTGGCAATGTAGCGTTCGATCTGGCAACACTGGAGTCGCAGGGCTTGTAGGGAAGACAGGGGAACATGTGATCCGCCTTCAGTACAAGTTTGAACTCGTTAGAGTCATTTGGTTGTCCATAGCAATTTTCCTTTGTGAAACTCTTTCTTACTGCGTTCTAAAAAATTAATGACATCAATTTCAAGCCACAGTGTGATATCAGGTATCGTATCACTGCAACGGAAACTTCTGCAGGCCTACTGGGATAGAGTTTTGTGAAGAGCCCAGGTTTTTCGGTGGTTCAAGGTAATTTCAGAAGGAAGAGAGTCGATTGAAGTTGAAACACGAAGCGGAAGGACTTCATCTTCAAGAACCGATGAAAATATCGGTAGATAACTCGGGATCATCGGTTGACAGTCAGAATGGTCGGGGGGGGGGGGAAGATTTAAATTTATCTTACACCGCCCTTCATCAGATCAAGAACATCTTTTTGTTGATGACGATAATGCTCAAATGGCCAATAAACTGTTCCTGTGGCTCCTCTCCCTCCTTATTAGCCTAACTTGAGTCCTTGTGACTTTTTTCTCTTCCCGAAGAAGAAAATCGCCTAAAGCACTGATATGAGGAGTGGAAGAACGGTTTTCAGCGCTGTGTGACTTCAGAAGGTGACAGTGACAATAAAAAAATGTAATTATATTTGAATAAAAAAATTGGTCTCATTACTTAGTTTACAGACCGGCTACTTTCTGATCCGGATTAGAAAATCTTCGTCGCACTATGATCCTTCGTAAATAATATTGCTCGACAACAGAGAAGTAAAAAGTTAAAATGGGCATCATTTTTTCGGTTTTTCAAGTTTACTGACTTTGTCCAAGGCTGTGTCGCTTTCGGTTAATTCTCTACTCTTTTGATAATCTACATACAGTACGCTTCCAGAAACTCTACACAATTCGAGCATCATAGTGTAAATCAGTGCGTGCTACGTCAGGCGGTGCATAATTTGATCAAACGTGACAAGGACGAGTCGAATCATAGGTGGCGTGTCGCCGCCAGGTGACAGTACCCAGGCAGTGTTGCCATTTACACATAATGTAACGCTTGAATTGTGTGCTTGTAGCAGTATACTGTATACAAGAAAGGCAGGCGTGCGCTTCTTCATTGCAGCAGCATTTGAGGCACACGCTCACCTCTTGAGGCAGGGCCTCCGTGAGGTCCGCGACAGAGACTGGTCGCAGGGTTGCCGGCTTTACCTTGATAGGTGTGCACGGATACTCCGGGAAAGCAGCCGCTACAGCACGGGCACCCGCTTCGTTCGTCCATTGGGACAGACCCACGAAGAACTCGCGACCTGTGAAAGAACAAGTTATTGCTTAAAAAATATTCGGTATATGAGCCATACTGCAGAAACATTGCTTCGGTGCCAGCATTCTTAAAGCCGCGTTTCGTAACCTTTTTGAGGTCAGGAAAAACAATTTTGAACGAAAGACTGTTTTAAAACTAAATTTAACCGTGTAATATGTAGAGCTGTTGATTAACGTATTTTACCTGAAGATAACCAACTATATGGTGGATTTCAGCATCCAATCTTTTTTTTTATAAAACTACGAATTATTGTTTTCGCGGGCCATCTCATTCTACCGGTTTTGCAACAGCGATAACTCAAAAGCAAAGTATCAAAAAAATAGTCATTTAATCAAAACTCCCTTCATAATTATAATTAAACTGGCGTTTCCTTTATTTACTTATTGTGATGTTCGCTATTTCTATTCCTCGCCAACTGCAATCGCTAACATAGTTGCCAGATCTACTTATATTCTGTATATATACTCAAAAACTGTTGCGAAGACTTTTATTACTGCGATTGAAAAATGATGCAAAACAAATGATGACATAAAATATGACTTCTTCTACTACCAAATTTTGATCAGTAGATTCGGCAACGCTGCTCCGCTGAATTGTAGAAAACTATCCTAGCACATGGCCTTAATGGCGGGTGATTTATTGCAGTGGGGGACGAGGGAATCTAGTTATACGTTATGTCTGTTTCTAACATAGATCGTTCGATATGTTTCGCGAAGTTTGTAAAGTTCTTAATGGTGACCTCCACGTGTTAACTAGGATATACAGGGAAAACCAAATTTCTCTGACGGCTTGAGTTTAATGTGCAGCGAAGGTCATCACCACATCGCCTAGCAACGGTGACGCAGAAGGTCGTGCAATCTGCCTCGTTCCAATATGTTATACCAGAAAATGTTCGCACAGGCTTATACCATTAGGTTAGGTTGCTGTCAAATCTAAGAAGGAGTTCTATTCAAATATTTAATTTAATATTTTGTTTTCATGTTGATTAAAATTATTTATTTCAATTTTGATGCGACTTAGTGTTTTAATTCATTTTAGAATAGTTTCACCGATGATGATAAAATCAACACATCCTGAGTTATTGTTACATTTTGCGACAGCAAGCGGCGCAAATACAAATTATCACTGCCTGATCGCTCATCTATGAACATGGCGGTGGAAACCTTGCCTTGGAATGTACGAGATGCGGTGTTGCCAAGCGAACCAATGCTGCGATTCTCACCTTTCATTTCGACCTAAAATGGAGCGCCGTTAGGCCCGATCCAGAATCGATCCTAAACAGACTCGACACAATCCACAATTCAAAAATGTGTTCAAAACAAAACCACTATTTGGGAGTAGAGAATAAACTGACGCATATTTTCAACATGCATCTTAATTCAAGGAACTGGTTAGCATATCGGCAACGCGGCACACACACTTCTCTCTCGTACACATTGAACTCAAGCCTCAGACAAACTTGGTTCTCAGTATAAAAGGCAGTGTATAGTGGTATAGGTTTTGAGTGAATAAAACGTAAAAAATCGAGAAGTATTTCATTCGAGTTGTGACAAGAAACTACCATTCGTGACAATACTGTATATTATGGATCCCCGGTATATGAAGTGAACGCTTGATTCCAAACAGGAAACTGTAATTCAGTTTCAGTGTTCCGATATTGGATAATTGAATTTCTAGCATGGCTATGAATTGAGTTCACTCTAAGAGGCTGGAACATAGACGCTCCAATTTAGATAAATTGTAGCACTGATTGATATATTGAAATACAAGCTAAATAGCGTTGAACGCTGGAGACGTACGCTTTTCAGCAGATTTTAACTATCACGGGACAGACGTAAGTCCCAGACACAGGTGCACAACGTTTTGAAGCCGAGACGCAAGTCCATGAGAACATCTGTTTTGTTCAGGGATTGCAAAGCTCGCAAAGATTCGCTGTATCTAGAATTGCGGAAAACGTAACATTTCTGTATCTGCAGAACACCTAAAATCATATCAACAGATCGCTTCGAATAAGATACGAGCACGTACGATAAAATAAACAATTACTGAAGGATACAATATTATAACGGAAAACAAAAAATGTTTTTTATCTTTACGAAATTATACAAAATCCAGAAATCTTGTGAAAAAATTTTAACGGATCATTATTTCTCAATTCATCATCAAAATATGTGTCCGTTGTGCAAGTCAATTTCCTTGTCTCGTCCTAAGACGCCTTTTGTTGACATGTTCATGATTTCATTCAAGCCATAATAAACACTAACATATTTCCTTTAATTTTGACAACTGTAAAAAAGATAAATGTCGGCAGGATAAATAAGGTTTTGTTTTGCTTATTTTTCATATTTTGTATAAAAATACTAATACAAAACGAATTAGGAAATGCATACCTACCCGTGAACAGGACGTCGCCCCCGTCTAATCTTGCCTTGGTATCTGACATTTCGATGATTGGAAGGTCAAGTTCTTTTTTTAGAACCACTCTTATCGTCTCGACCTGCAACAATGTAACCGATCGTATGATACTTAGATTAAGTGACCTTTTTGAAAAAAAAACAGCAAGTAGGCGTTTTAGCCGAGATTGCAGATATAAGCAAGGATTTTTAGAAATTTCTGTTTAAACTTTTAAAGCTTCTCAATTCGAAGTTTCCAGTTTTCAAACTGAGATATACAAGAAGCTTTGCGGAAACTTAGATGAACGCAATAAAGGATACCTGACGTAATACTTCAAGACAAGTCGTTGATGCACATCCATTTGGGCCTGATGAAGCCAATAAGCAGAAACGTACGACGCTCGGGTTACCAATCCTTTTATTCCTGCTCCTGTTCCTATACTGCGTACATGCCCACGGTTAAACTGTGATATTTTGGGTCGCCTGATGATGCTTTTCGATCTGATTCGTATGTACACGCCCGATTTACCCGAAAAACAGGATTTGGTATTTACGAAAACTTTCTTATTTCCTCAACGCAAAAATTTCCATTTTAGCCAAAGAACATTTTTGAAAAATTCGTATCGCTTCAGAAGTCTTCAGAATAATCTAAGATCTAGAGACTACGCAAGGCCACATTATATTTTAGCATTTAAGTCCAGCCTTTGAGACAGATAAGAAAAAGGTAACGTTTTGCCTACTAATACGAGTCTGAGCAATTTTTATTCGAAATCCCTCTTAAAATGCAAGACATGTCCAGTGTATCGCCAATCGTATCAAATTCCACAATTTCTCTGTATAGAAGCATATGCTGATTCTGTACAATTTCAAGAACGAGGCAATAAACGGCAAATGTATGTACGCTTGTTTCAAGAGAAAAACGCATATGATGGGTGAGGTAACCGGCAACGTGAGGTCATTCACGTCTCCAAATGATTGTAGCACACCATAGACATTTATGTATGCCGCCTACTCTTTATAAGGAGTGAGGGGTTTTTAAGGTATATTAATACCAAAGACGACGTTGCCCGTTTCATAAAGCATTCAATTTAAATCGTTAAGATTGGTTGCCATAAAATGCTTCCAATGAATAATAATGTTCCTTCTAGCATCTAATTTTCAAAAAAGTGTCGTCACCTTTGAGTGACCAAGAGGCTCTTTATTCTCTCGCCAACATAAAATTATTGCTATGGTAGGGGTTGAAAAGGTGTCAGTTTTGAAAATTGATCCAGTTGCGGCTATGAACAAAAATGCGAAATCTTATTAGACGCCCGAACTTCACGATTTAAGGCACTCGAGTTTGAGGTAATTTTTGTGTAAAAAATTGAAATGAACTGAACCTTATTTTCTTTTAAAATGCAATGTTCCAACGTTGTTTTTGGTTGCCGCCAACAAAGTTGCAATTCACATTGCTTGAATTATAATGAAAAAAATTATGTCAAGTAGATTAATTCTACATTTCCAATGCAAGGATATCATCAGGTCATAAAGAATTATGCTCGGTACAAGTGAGCCCCTCAGAGACAAAAGTAGATAGGAACATGGTACAACAAAGAAATTAAATGGATCAAGTCAGTCAAACTCATTTGCCATGAATGTACTGTAGTTGCGAAAAAACTTTAAATGGAAGAATAATTTCCAGATATAACATAGTAGGTACATTTTTTGTGGCGTTCTTCAAGTAATCCTTGGCCCTCTATTACAGACAGACAAATATTTACTGTTTTTGTCAATCGGTCCTGTAGCGATAAAGCAATTGTCAAAGAAACTAATTAATCATTGGTCCTTCTATAACTTGGCAAGTACCACTGGATTTTGAAGAAATTTTGGAAGGCCTGTCTAATGGCTCAAGTTTTATGACCAAAAAATCTATCCTCCCCCAAACTTGACTTTATCTTTTTTTTTCGTTTCTGATGATATTGAACTTTCAAAAATTTGCTTAGAGGAGAGAACCTTCAGAAAGAAGTCAAGGATTCAAAGATTGTGAAACCTGGCAAGACTCATTTTTCAAATTCTAATCACCCAGTCACTTCTGTATAACTTCAAACACAATAGGAGATGTGCAGTTCGAAAATATACCGAATGGAATGTGTGTTGAAAAAGCGGGAAACTGCTGTTACAATATTTTATCTAGAAACGTCACAAAACTTATCTTATCAGGCTAACTAGCCAAATGTGAACTCTATCCTAAAAAAATTTATATATTTTTTTTAGAGTGAATCCTCATCAAGAAATAAAAAATTCTGGGTAACTTTTTCATCAAACTTCAAAGTTATAAGTCTATAGAAGAATTGGGAACGGGGTCGAAACACCTTCAAATGGATATGCCCAGTTCGTTACAACAGTTAATTGGTTATTGCAAAAAATCGTTCATTTTTGCCGAAACGTGCGTATGAGTAAATATGTTAAAAAGTTAAAGCCTTTGTAGTTATAACATCGAAAAAATCTTCAAAAATGCTCAAGCTATCCAGAGACGCAACTGCTGAAACAAATTAGACATGCAGGGTGAGTTTTTAGTATATAATTGGACAATTAGTATAAAACATAATCACAAACGTTATTCATATAAATTGTGGATATTACTCCGCTTCCTACAGAGTGATTCATACCGAGTTAAGAAAATAGAACACCGTACATTTATTGACCGTGAAGCCTAGACGCCAGTGATTACTGATGCATAATGTTACGCAGAAATCCAGTGATCGCTTTACCGTTTCCGAGATCCCAAAGGCGAGTTTCGAATTTGTAACAAACGTAACATATACAGGGTTATCCAAATTAAGTGTCCACCATTAGTAACTTTGTTATTAGTGAAAATACAAAGTTGTTTGAATTAGCAAACTAGTAGCATTTTTAACGCTGGTAAAAATGAGAAATAAAAAAAAACAATTGAGAGTCGTTATTTTGATTTTTTTCAGTAAAATAACATTTTTTTAAATGAAAACCCCTGTATATTATATTTTTTTCTGTTAAAGCATCAAATTTTAAACAAAAAAGCTTACAATAACTTTTCTCCTAGGTTACAAATTGTTGAAGTTATGGCCTCCAATCTGAAACAATTAAATTGTATCGACAAACTTTATTTTCAACATCAACTTATAATCTTACAAAATACAATAACAATTTTTTTTAAAGAAGATGCTCGAAAACACCACCTTGTTCTTCAATACATTTTTGGGCACGTTTTTCAACTGCTCGAACTGTCTTAAGTATGGTCCTACCATCTATCTGGGTTATCTTTTCCCTAACTGCAGTCTTTAACGCGTCAAGGTTATCGTACCTTCGCTTGTAAATTTGGTTCTTTAAGTAACCCCACAAGAAGTAATCAAGTGGGTTTAGATCTGGTGATCTGGGAGGCCACTGTATTGGGCCATTTGTTCCTATCCACTGATCATTAAAAGTAGTACTTAGAAAATGATAAGTACCTCTGGAGTTGTGGGCAGGTGCGCCATCTTGCTGAAAATGCAGATGATGTCTACTTATAAGATCCAATTCGTCTAAGAAATTAGTCAGAATTTCTGACATAAATTCCACATATCTTTCACCAGTTAGGGTTCCCTCATAAAAGAACGGGCCAACAATTTTTGAACCAATTATACCGCACCAAACGTTGAAACTGAAACGGACTTGTGGGCCACTAACAAAAGATTTTCTCTTGACCAATAATGGTGGTTTTTTCTATTAAACATTCCAGAATTTGAAAAATTTGATTCATCTGTCCATAAAAGGTAACGAAAGTTATTTACATTTTGGCGACAGAAGCTAAGATACCAATGGCAAAAAACAAGTCTTCTCTCTGGATCCCCTGCCAAAAGCGTTTGAACTGGTCGGTACTTATACGGAATAAATTTGTATTTTTTTAAAATCCTTTGAACAGTACCATAACTGAAATTAGAGTCCTTGAGAATATCTGCTATTGAATTCTCACGATAAGCTTCAAAATATCCAATAACTGCAATTTCCGTGGCCTCGCTTATTATGAATTCTTTTTTGCCCTTGTTTTAGCAAAAACATTTTCGTTGCCCCTAAATTTTCGATAAAGTCTCAGAAAATATCGTTCATAAGGTTGAATGCGAGCGGGATATAATTCACTGTAGTATTCTCTTGCTCTCAAGGAGGATTTTCTGCACACTAAATAGCATTCTAACATATCACACTTTTCTTCATGGGAGAACATTTTTCTTTAAATTAATGACACAATAAAGCTTATAAACAAGTATTTACACTAATGTTTGACATTATTTGATTTTATCATTGTTTTCCAAAGCCTTCTAGTTGCGAGTATGTCCAGTTTAACAATTTGTCGCTTATCTTAATGCTGTCAAATCGCGAACGCCATGTTGTTTTCATAGCCGTCTTAATATTATAATACTGCAAAAAATAATTAAAAATATTTATCGTTATTTTGACTTTATTTTTGACTTTAGCGGAAAAGTCATTATGAACTTTTTTGTTTAAAATTTGATGCTTTAACAGAAAAAAATATAATATACAGGGGTTTCCATTTAAAAAAATGTTATTTTACTGAAAAAAATCAAAATAACGACTCTCAATTGTTTTTTTTTATTTCTCATTTTTACCAGCGTTAAAAATGCTACTAGTTTGCTAATTCAAACAACTTTGTATTTTCACTAATAACAAAGTTACTAATGGTGGACACTTAATTTGGATAACCCTGTATAGTGCTGTTATCCAAATTAAGTTTATATCTAACATAGATTTCAACTAATCCTAGTAATTTCCTAACTAATAGATATTAGTTATTCAGCTTGTGGAGATCCCTGTACGTGAATAATTGTGTATTTTTGTAAAAAAATATTATATCCATTCAGTTTTTGCCGAGCTGGGGAAAGGTGGACAGCTAACCCCCTTGACCCCGCTGGGTGCGCCCTTGAGCTCTAATCTAATTCCCTGCTGAAGCTTATAAAGATAAACAATACGTCTTTGTGCAACATAATACGCAGCTCTCTTGATTTTGTCCCCCAAGATCAATAGGTGCTGCTATTTTAATGCGAAATTATAAAGCATGGGAAGGGACCCGTTTTATGCTTTGACACGTTCGCCTGGTCCAGTTATACTCGGATAAACGCACCTATTTCCACGTCAGTGGACACAGTCCAAGGACGAATTTTGGGTATTATGTCCTTAGGCTTTTTTTGTTTGAGGGGAACTGTAACCTGAATATTTGAGAAACTAGTTTCAAATTAAATGTAAGCTTAGCTAATCTTTTAGCATTTATTCACGTTTTATGCCTGACAGCAGCCAACCATGTAATTTGACGTCTAAAAGATTATAGGAGATTAAGTGAGATATCAGAGTTTGTCAAATCTATGTTATTTTCTATGCGCAATAATACATGCTCATATGTTAGCTCCAGCGCCATCTATAAGACACTAAGGACGCCTTTATGGCCTCCTAGATTTTCTTTTCTCTCCTTTAGAAAGGCTAGGGTATTTCTAGATTTCAACTGTTCCGTGTCAGCGTCAGCGCTGTCCGATTCTGAGGTTATGTTTCCATCTTGAGGCTAAAAAAATTTCAAGATGATAAAACAGATGATAAAAATCAAGTTTCATCAGCCTGAATTCAAAAAGAAAATATAACCTCAAAATGTTGCGCGTACACGAAACAAATGTAGAAACAGCCCTTCCTTTCTGAAGGACAGGGCAACCTATGAAAAGCAAGGAGGCCATAAAGGCGTCCTGCAGTTGTAGTAACGCTTCACGATACGGCCCTAACCTCTTCAAAGTACATTTCTAAGCAATGCGGAGAGAAGAAGCATAGATGCACAAATTCTAATAGGTGGCACTAGGATATATCATTTCATCTCTAATAATTTTTTGAACGCTGACGCATAGAGCATGGTTGGCCAATATATTTCACCATCACCCAAAAATTATTTGAGGATTGTAAAAAAATCAAGGTTGGAGACTAGCTCAAGCTTTATTGCTCATAGCGAACCCACCGGATATTCCTGTCCAAATTTCGTCAAAATCGGTGAAGAATTTTCACGAACACAATACAATACTACTCGCATACGTGAAAAATAAATGACTGAAAATGATTCAATCAATATTTAAGTAACTATCTTTTACTGTACCGGAAACTAAAACAGGTAGAATAACAGTTTGGAAGTTTTTCGAATTGAATTCATGGGTCCTTAAATCCCTGAATACGACCCTGAACAGTTTACCATAGGAACCAAAATTAAACATAGGGGGAAAAATATTTCAACCTGAGTAACGCCTACTCGCCTTCCCAGAAAATAGATGCTTTTCTCAAACGGACAGACTTGGCAAATAGGATGCTCCAGTTTTGCATATGGAAATAAAACAACACGGTAGGTAGTTTTAAATGACTTTATTGTTTTTCGAAGTGTTCTCCATGAAGATTAATACACATCTGCATGCGCTCGAACCAATTTTCGATGCACTTATTCCACTCGTTTGCTGGCAGATCCAAAACGGCATTTTTGAATCCGTCAACTGCTTCTTCTGGTGACTGAATCCTTGGAGGATGATTCTTCTTTCAGGGTTCATTTTTCGAAGCTCGGTGATGGCTTTTGGCAAACAAATGGTGGTATACCAATCCGCAGTAACAGTTCTTTGCTCATTAAGAGGAATTGTTGCAATATGACCCGCTTTTAACACAAATGTCGCGGCCATCTTTTTCGAAACACTTCTAGAACGGATAACTTTTGTTGGCTTTTCTTCACCTTGGAATACCCAAACAGCCGACTGTCGTTCATTTTTTGGTTCATAACAATGCTGTACACATTTTTTGAGTTTCCGAAATTGAAACGGTCAAGCGTTTTTTGACACCAATTAACCCTGGCTGCTTTCTGCTCTTCAGTCAACAGGTCAACGAGAAACAATTTTCTTACTCCTAATTCTTCATGTAAACTTTTTTTAATTGAGGTCTTTGAGATCTTCAAGGACGCCTCAATCTCGCTATATGTCACATGTCTATCTTCAATGATGAGTTTGCCTTTTTTGGTGCACCCACCCTGGGATCGTCAGTCGACCCTACAATTGTAGGGCGCGTTTATGGCCTCCTTGATTATCATACTCCTTTCTCTCCTTCAAAAATTTCTAGATTACACTTGTCCCGTGTCAGCGTCAGCGCTCTCCTATTGTGAAGATATGTTTTCTTTTTAAATTGTACGAAATTTCAGGCTGATAAAACATGATATAACTCAAAAGCAAGCACAATTTGATGCAAATAAATGTTTGTGACATAACCTCAAAATAGAGTTCTGGCACGGAGAAGTAGAAAACTATGACAATCAAGGAGGCCATACAGGCGCCATACAATTGTAGGGACGACTGACGATACGGGCCTAAGACTCACCCGTCCACATTTGAATTATCCATGCCAACGGGAAATTGTCGACTGATGTGGCGCTTCGTTGCCGAAAACAGACAGTAACTCAGCAAGGCATTCTTGTTGCGATAATTGTCTCTGAAGGTTGAAATAAAATAAAATGTTCTCGGTTGAGTTCCATTTTTCTAATGACTTGGTGACACTTAAAAATTCACTGTAGTGAGAACACTGCACGGATTGTTGTGAAACTTTTCATTTAAGTTTACTAAAGAGTGAGCACTGACGTTCGATCCACGCGGCCTACTATGTTTCTATATGCAAAACTTAAAATTCATTCCTGGTAGCAACTCACCGCTTCCTGGCCATCGTGATCGCGGGCGGAAGACGGACTTAGTAAGAAACCGGTATCAATGCTGAGTGATCCTACTATCCCTAGTCTATATACTTTTATTAGATTATAATCACCCCGGGAGGTGTGGCAACACTGGCATTCGCTCATTCGACCGTTAGGTGAGTATGTACTTCAAAAAATATATATAACAGACATCAGGACAGGTCGTAATGAGAATGACGATTTGTCAATTTGCTCGTTCGGTTTGAAAAATTGAAGATATGACAAAATTATTTTTTCTACAATCAAGTATCACAGGGCCGGATCGTCAGTCGTTACTACAATTGTAGGACGCCTTTATCCCCTCTATGGCCACTTGACTTTGATAGTATTTTCTTTCCTCAACGCTCTCCTATTTTGAGGATATGTTTTTTTAATTGTAGAAAAAAACAGGCTGATATAATGGATGAAGCATGAACAATTTAATGCCAATGGATATTTGTAACATAGCCTCAAAAGAGAGGGCTGACAGAAAACTATGAAAATCAAGAAGGCCATAAGGGTGACCTACAATAATTATTGTAGGAACGACTGACGATACGGCCCTCAGTATCAAAAATCTCTTATATACTCGTACTACACTAATTTTGTATAAAATAGCATTGTTCAAGGAAATGAATATCATTTAGATTGGGAAATTACCAAAGCTTCCTATAACTACCAGAATAACGGTTTGCCGTTTTCGGACTTAGTGCAAGTGCATAATTTATTTATATTCTAATATTCAATTCAATCAACTGTGATAATTATCTCATGATTGATGGCAGACATAATAAAATAAACCATTATCGGCTCAATTCCATGAAACTATGCAGCCAATCCCACTCATACTAATAGATAAGACTAATTACAAAAAACAGATTGACCTAATTAACACCAAATATGATATATTCGCGAAATAGACCAAATGTTTAGACAGCTGACGCACCCAGCTTGCTCCACTTTTTTGACGTTTACAATTGATGTGAACGAACAAATGATCGATGTTTTCTTCAAAACAAATGAAAGCTGGGCTGATAGCAACCCTTGATGACAAAATCTAGTCAAACTTCTCAACACTCTTAACAAGGGCTTTGCTGCGGTCCTTTGTTGATGCTTTGTTAAAGGGCGGGAAGTGAAAACATGCATCAAACCTAACCTCTTTGATTCTGTTCGCGTCTCCAGGCCTGGCGATGAGCGCGATTCCATTACAAACGACAGCGGAGTCTTCTACGAAGGCGCAAAGGGGCAACGCTTCGTCTGGAGGAAGCTCAATCACGTCCAGGCCTAGTTCCCGAAGGAGTCGCACATAGGCCTCGTGCTGACGTCGGGCCTCTTCCAACTCTACTTGGCCCCTAGTGCGAAGAGACACGGGAATGCGGCACACGACCGCGTGCGTGTACCTGAAGGCTGAGGCGGCCCCCGTGCCGGCCGCCATTCTTTATCTGCAGTTGTACGCGACTACGCGATCCAAACACGACTGCATCGAGCCATCTTGCTGCAAGATGCAATATATAATCTGACGTTGCCAAGTGCATAGACATTTCTTCACTTCTACATACTTTTATCATTGCGGTGAAATTTTTCGTTTTCAACCCATAACTCCGCCTCTACTTGACCGATATTCAATATCAACAAAGCTTTTTCGTCCTTGACACAATAGTAATGATAAAAATACTTCATAATCCGAGCTATACTTTTTACAAGTTATAGACAAACCAAGAATTACCGGAATGCCATATCAAAATAATCATGATTTTGAAATTTTCAGAGATTTCAAACATTATTTCCCGCCAATCGGATTTTAGGAACTATTCTAGATTAATTATCCAGAGTGCAATAGCTGAATCATAAAAAACTTAGAAACCCTTTTAAAGAATAATTTCTGCCATTTAGAATTTTGGAGTTATTTAAAAAATATTTTTGGAGGTATGCACAGACTGTAGGCGTAGGCCTATCAGGTCTTTGAGTATTCCTCATGAATTTGATGTTCTTGAACTGGCAACACTGTTGTAAAGTGAATATGAAAGACATTTGCACTTCTTGTTTCTTATGCTCTACGTGGCAACGTTGGCGCAAGTACAGGGAGGTATTAAGCAAACTTCATACTACTGCACGTAGGATTCCTTTGTGAAAAAAGTGAAGTCAAGCTTCATGCCTCGGTATACCATCTGCGCCTTAATTTCGCACACATACATATATAACGACATTTCAGGTTTTCCAGAAATGATTAGAAATGGCAAACAATGTTGTTTAAATTACTCAAAGTATAAACTGAAAACTCAAACGGTAATTACAGTTTAAGAATTAATATTGTTTTAATTTATATAGTTGTTGCTTTGTACCTAGCTACTATAGGCATAAATCCGAATTGAGTATACCTAACTGCATGACAAACAGAAAAACTTCTAGTGCGCAATACAGGGGTTGTAAAAATCCGACGATCGGCATCTACCAATGATGTGCCAAACTGAACGTTGTTCTGCGCTTTGCCATGTACAGCACAGATACATGCCGCGCCACCATTACGGTCGGCATCTCGATGAGTCGGAATTCTAATAACAATTCACATAGCAAATCAGCAATGGCTTTCTATGCATATGTGCATAAATAGACGCAATCTGAAATTGACATGTTCGCTTTCCGTCTCTGTAACCATGACAAACAGTAGACAGCGCTGTTCTGTGCTCCTTAGTAACTCATTAGTGTGGTATGGGTCTAGTCTTGGAGTCAGATGAACGAGAAGCAAACATAGTGGGCATGAATTTTTTAAAAACTGAAGGTATGACAAAAAAATTTCTACAATCAAGTATCAGAAGTCTCAGGGCCGTATCGTCAGTCGTTCCTACAATTGAGGCCAAATTTAACGAAATTGAGTAAGTGACACCATCTAGTACAAAAAAAGACTGTTTTTAAGACCGCCAAAAAAGATTCTGCAAAAACGACATAAATGCGTTAAGATTTAAGAAGTCAAAATTTCGAGGTTTCCGCAAAAAGCACATATGTATTTATATCCCCTGTTGTTCATCCAAATACCGCACAAGTCCGCGACAGGATAGGACATGTATGCTTTTTGCTGGATATTTAATCCGTTTCTATATAATCATTTTGTTCTTTTTTGAAATAAAGGTAGTACTTTTCGAACTTCTCTTTTTTTCTTACAAAAACAACAGTTTTAAATTGTTTTTATTTGATTACTACACATATTTTTTTTAATGAAGAGCATATTTTTAAGCTATTATTAATAGTATTTAACAAAAAAGTATTCAAGAAAAGGATTAGTTTTAAAATAAATCGTTTTTTCTATTTCTTAGTAATTTTGTATTTTGGACATATGTTGCAGAACGGCTTTATGGCCCTCTTGATGTTCATAGTTTTCTACTAATCAGTATCAGCTAGTCATGTGTCGTTCGAGAATGAATCGTTCAAAATGAACGACTCATCTAACTGAGCGATGATTGAACGACTCTTTTGTTGCATATGACTGGTTCAATTGTGCAAAGCGTGTCTGCAGTATGCAGCAACTGAACTGCGAACTGACAACGTGGTAACATGTGGTGGTAACAGTACAGACACTATCTACATCTAGGGAACCCGGTTGCTTTGTTTTGAGATGTCTCGTTAAATTATACGTTGAAATGATGGAATTTGAGAGCAAAAATTGCATTTTGATTCAGAATTCGGTAATTCCTCAAAACCGGACCACATATCCCTTCTTTTTTCGGAAGACAGTTTACATACGTTACATTCAATTTCAACCAAAAATATTAATAAATAAATGCAATAACATAGGCAACCCTAACCCTTCGTTTCATTTTCATAGTATGATGTATATTCTCTGACTCAGTGAGTTGTTACTATAGGCAACACAATACTCTCGTCAGCTTCGAGGGCGGTCGGTAATCGTATCGTCAAATGAACGACTCCGAACGAACGACTCACTGAAGAGAGATGAACGACATGAGCGAGCTCAGAGAAAAGAGTCGTGTGTATCAAGCCTAGTGTCATTTTGAGGTTACACTTCAAAAAGAAAACAACTTCACAATAGAAGAGCGCTGACTCTTTCACGGAACAGTAGATATCTAGAAAAATACCACAATGTACCTGAAGGAGGAACAAGACTATGAAAATGAAGGAGACCATAAAGGCGTCCTGCAATAAATTGTAAGAACAACTAACGATACGGCCCTATCGTCGATATAAATCAAAAGTTTGAACAATTTGATGCAGATGGATATTTGTAACTTAACCTCAAAATAGAGCGCTGACACGGAACAGTAGAAAACTATGAAAATCAAGGAGGAAGGAGGCCATAAAGGTGTTTTACAATTGTAGGAACAACTGACGTTTCGGTCCAAAGAGAACCATAAGGTATATTCTTTAATTCACCGGTTGAGCTACCGGTGCAACCGGTTAGCCAAGTTTGCGTCCTTTAATTTCCGCTGGAACGACCAGTTGTACATCTAACTTGTCTCTATATTGATGGTGGTTATGCCACCGGTGCCAACAGCATCCACCGACGTTCGGGCTCAGTTGATCCACGATATTCTAACCTTTACATTTTATCAGTTTTTGACAACTTCAGTTTTGTGTGAAAAAATGGAAGAAGAAAAGATTGAAGTTAGCAGCATAGGAGTCGCGTGAAATTTTATGTTTTTTTTGAACACAATTATGCATATCGACGATCTCAAATCAATACCTCGTAAGTCCGAAAATGTCGACTTTCTGATTTTGTTCTGTTTTTATTCCTGTATGAATACAGGAATGCTCTCAGAAAATCCATATCGATGGTTCTTATTCGGGAAGCATCGAAGATCTCAAATCAATGCCTCGTATTGATTTGAGATCGTCGATATCTGAAAATTTCTTGGTTTTCTGATTTATAGTTCTTATATTGATTCTCGGAGTGCAAATTCTCTCCGCTGGATAACTTCTTCATCAGAATCATCACTTGAATCGCTTAACAAACGTTCCACGACAATGCCAACTGCTGCGTACATTTCCATAATGATTTTAAATGATACGGTGTTCAAATTAACAAGTATCCATTTACGATAAAACAAGGGTTAGGTTTTCTCATATGACAGCAACCTGAAGGCTAAAGATGCATCTTTTTATTAACGACCATTCAGCGGAACCGGTTGCTAACGTCATCACATCAGCTGTCAACCATGAGTTCACCGAATCCATCAGTGACGGAATCAACCGGTGAATTAAAGAATATACCTATATTGATACAAGGATTTTCTGATTTATCGGACCTGTCAATCCTGCCATTGTCCCATCACTATACTTAAGTTGAGGCTGGAAACAACACCAATAACGCGAAGTTGGGAATCCCTCGTTATAGGATTGGCTTATTTCTAGAAATAATTTATCTGTTCAAAGATTAAGTAGAATTAGGAACTCTCTATCAACTGCTCTCGCAAATTTATCGTGAAAAATACTTTTTTACGTTTTTACTTACTCATTGCTTGTGACACATAGACACATTAATCAAATTCAAGCGGATAACCAAATGGAAATGGTATTTACCATTTTGGGTTGGTATTTACCAATCCGTTCAAGCGAGTGTAGTTATCAGTTTGGTTATAAGATCCGTGACGTCACGAATCAGCTGTTATATGTCATAGTTATCACCGCAAAATTGTGGTATTTACCCAACTCAAGAGTAGTTTTATATTTCTGGTTATTATTTGAAATGTGACAAGTTAGAATTTTGCCGGGTATTGGATATTGTTATTGTACTTCAGCTTCATTTTTGAGAAAAACGATACAGGCTGACTTCAGTTTTACCATAAAGTGGAGCACCTTATTAGTTATACTCATTACGGTTGTTGGGGATACTTTAAATGTAGTTCCTATGCTTAACAAAGTATCCTGTGTAGCCATATACCACAAGAATATTAAAATATGGCCATATAAACTCACTAGATGATATCCACCTGTATACGGTTTTGCTAATTTCTTTTTTCATCATTTCTGCTGAATCAAATGTTTTCTTTGACATGTGGAAAAATTTAGAGAATTGAAAGTTATCATAGCTACAAAGCCATGGTTAGATCATTAAAAAAAAAAATCTGAAAAAAACATTTCTCCATGAATATTATGAAAGGTTTCTTATTTAAACTTTCCATATACAGTTGTAGACGAAAAAGCACCGATTATTAAGTGATAATAAAAATAATCAGAGATTATATACGCGCTTTTCTAAAATAAACAACTTGCAACAAAACCGCGGTTAAAACCAACGCGTTCAAGCGATTCGTGTAACTGACGTCATCAACCCGTGTGTCATCTTGAACCATATTATAACCGCGGCACATAACACAGAAATTTTGGTTATTCGCTTGGATTTGATTATTGTTTATGTGTCGGACTGTTTCACTGTATCAGCAATTTTCTTATCTGTGAATCCTCAATAATATCGAGTAGAAGGCAGTAAATGTATTACGAAAATATCATTTGAGAGCATTATAAAAGGTATATAGAATGTTTAAGTCTCATTTTCAACTATTTTATAAATTGTTTTTTTTTAACTTTGCCGTAAACATTTTCATCAATTTCCAGACCAAATAATGTCTTCAATATTGAATCCAGAGTGTGCAATGACATGTCCAATTTGTTTGGAGACAATGAAAGCACCCATTGTGCAGTGCCAAATAGGCCACAGCATGTGTAGAGGATGTGTTAGTGAGACCAACATTACCAAATGCCCTTCATGTAGATCTCCATTAACAAACACCAGGAATTATCAACTAGAGCAACTCATTGAAGGCTTGAGTGGCATGCTCAAAATTCAGTGCATATACACCAAGAAAGGTTGCAAATATACATTGTCTCAAAGTGAAAAGGAACCACATGAGTATGAATGCAGATTTAGAAGGTAAATCATAGTTCCAGCAACAAAGTGTCAGTTAAGTTAGTTTTGTAGTTATTTTGTTCAGGGCTATATACATATAAACAGTTACCACAATAAATTTCTGAGAGTTCTGAAAGGTCATTTCTGGTAGAACAGATCAGTTCAGCACATAGCTAAGCAACATTGTATTATTAATCTGTATGTGTAACTGTAATTGACAGTCTTTGATAGTCAGAAATTGCTTGTTGGAAAGAACTGATATTTTGTTACTGCCTTATCAAGGATACAATGGCAATTTTGCAACCAAGGAATCAGTATAATAACAGATATGGATTAAAAAGATTTAATTCCTGTTTTTAAGAAAAAATATTTCAGCTTCGACTGTGAAGGCAAGAAGTGGGCAAATTGGAACTGTCAATGGAAAGGAGATTATGCTGAAATTTACAAACATTTCAAAGATGATCACAATAACCACACTTGGATGCAGTATACGACTGCTGCTAACATGAAAGTGAATTTTAATAATGACTTCATGGATGTTCAGATCATATCATTTTTCAATGGCCAACAATACTTTTATTACAAACATAAACTTGATGTATCAAAAGCCAAGGCATATTGGGCCTTCCAACTAATTGGTACGAAAAGCCAAGCCAAACATTACTATTATGAGTTTGAGATTCATAATGATCCTGTGAGAAAATTCAAAGTCACAGAAATGTGTCAAAGTGATGTAGAGGATGTAAATAAGATTTTTGAGGAAGAAAGATGTGTTGTGATGTCTTTCAGAGTTTTGAAAAACTTTTTGGTCAATGATGAGTTGCCCTTCAAGTTTAGGATTATGAGTTTGAAGAAAAAATAATGTGTATCAGATAAGAAGAGTTAATGCTTTCACTTTATGTGGGAGATATCAAAAGCTGAACATAACACTCAACGTTTATTTTGTTATATAGAATATAAAAGTTTGCTTATTTAAAGGAATGTGCCTTTTTCATTATTCATTTATTTTACAAATTCTTACAGTAGATAAAAATAATTAATGTTACTAATTTTATTTACTTGTAAGTACTATACAACTTAATAAAGATATTTTGCTTAAATTACAATTTTCTATTCTGGGATCATGTCGATACTTAATTCTTCACCCATATTGCTAGGAGATGTCTCTAATTCTCCAATGTCATTTGATTCACTGAAAATAATATAAAAAATTACTTATAAAGTTGGGTCAATATATGAAAACAATCTATGCAAGGTCAAATACAAGTGAAGTGTTAATAATCTTGTTACCTATCTAATGAAGGTTCATTGCTAAACATTTCAGTAGGTACTGTAGGTGGTGCTCTTTCTGGCACAAATTCTAAAAAACTCTGGGACTGTAAATGCCTTTCTACTTCTTCTGGGGTCATATGACCATCAGTTAATGGGTTGGCACTAGTATGTGGCATATGCTGAGATATTTGCTAGAAAGATGTATGAATTAGATATCAGATTATAAAACAAAATAGATTCTACTGCTGAGACAATTTTAAGTTTCTTTTCCAGTTTATTTACCACTGTTGGATGTGCTGATTTTGAAGGCCTAGGAGCTGATGGTCTTTTCTTCTTCGCTACCGGCATTGCTTTTCCAGAGTTCACATTATGTACATTAGAATAAGTCATTTCCTTCCTTCTTTTCAACTGTTCTTGCCTAACTTCTCCATCATCAGAAGATTCTGTCTCTTCAGATTCTGAAGTGCTATGGTCAATTTTCTCATGCATAAGAAGTCGATCAAGTAAAAAGTTTCTATCTTTTGTTACAGCAAGCAGTCTTCTTTGAGCAGTTCGTAGAGCTTGTTGAAACGCTTCGTTTTCCTATAAATACACATTTTAAGTTCAATAGACTTATTAAAGTGGGTAAAATGTTTACATAAATCAGATTTTGTAGTTTCCTTTTCAGAAACTTGTATTCTTTTTTAAACTTTGATTCTTCTAAGGCTCGTTCCTCTTCTTCGGCTGCAGCTGCCTCATTTGCAATTGATCTACAGTACCATCCCTCTAACATATTGGTGAATTTTAAAAATATCTGGATTTTATCAAAACAAACAAAGCCCTTTCCCTTTTTGTTGACAGAAATCACAAACGGAAAAGTCAAATGTCAGTACACCACGACAACCACGGAACTATCAAGTCTTAAAACATAATACACAGAAGACAGGGTGGCAGGACGAGAAACTCGTACAGTAAATAAAATCCGCCATTCTGGATCCTATAATTATAACCTCTATCATATATATATATATATATATATATAGGTGAAAAATTAAAGCTTCCGCCTTTTGTTGGGTACTTCGACAAAATTTAAGCAAAGAGGACTCTTTATACTTTTTTTAATTCTCTCTAGCTTTCAATGGACTTTGCCATCATCATCAGGAGCTGCAATTACAATGATAACAGTAGCAACAAAGGTGTAAAATGAATTTAAATTGACTCAACTTACAGTAGTATGTGAGGATGTTGCTAATTGTTGTTTACGTATAGGATGAGGGAAACGTCCAGTAACATGGTGAGAGCTGGATAGATTGTACAATGGTCAAAATTATATAAAATATGACAAGAACAAGTTAAAAACAGATTAAAAATTATTTAAAAAACATTAGAGCATTACATCGTGAAGCCACTTGATGATTGCACAAATTAGTGGTCATGGAATGATGAGTGACATGAAACCCTTTGACAGAAGGCCGAAGGATGTCAATGTCAGTATTGAAAGATGGAACGAATTGTGGGCGTGTGCCAAACGTTGCCAAATCACTTCAGATGATGAGATTTTCAGAATTTTATGTTAGAATTTGTTAAACCGACCAGAGGCAGTTGAATAAACTATATTATTATTAATGGGAATTTAAATTAACAATTATTAATAAATCGTGAGGAGAGAATTATTATATTTTGAGTGGAATGAAATTTACTGGTGGAATCGGCCAAAACACAGATTCTAATTATGGTTGTGAAGAGTTGAAATTTGGGGAGATATGTAAGTTCTCCAATTTTTCGCAGTTTAGCAAATATGAGTAAATGACACTCAGTTGTTTAACATCTGTCTTTTTGTTGATACAGTTGTTATTCATGAAAATGTGGGACATTTCCAGGAATAAACGTTTGGAAAGGTGTTTTTCTTTATCAAGAACTTTGATACTTGTGTAATTCATAGAATGCCCTGTTGTGTTAACATGAGATGCTAGAGCGCATCTTTCAGGATGAAGCCTAGCATCACTTTTGTGTGATGTAATCCTTCCTTTAAGAGATCTGGAGGTCTGACCTATGTATATTTGGTTGCAGTTGTTGCAATTGATGGAGTAGACTGTGTTGGTTAAGCCAAGCAGCGGGACTTTGTCTTTCATTTTTGAAAAAATGCAGTTTATAGTGAGGACGGGTTTGCAAGCAATTCGAAAGTTCAAAGGACTGCACAATCTGATCAGCTTAGGGGTCAGTTCCTTGATGTAGTGCAGGACAGCAAAACCAGGTCTGGAGTCTGGGTTGGTGCTTGTACTGTTAGGATTGATGTTATTATTGGGAATTACATCAGTTCCGTTATTAGGGGTTGTGCGACTATTACCTGCATCACCAGAGTTCGGCAAAATATTGGAAGGTGAACTTTAGCTCTAGCATCTCATGTTAACACAACAGGGCATTCTATGAATTACACAAGTATCAAAGTTCTTGATAAAGAAAAACACCTTTCCAAACGTTTATTCCTGGAAATGTCCCACATTTTCATGAATAACAACTGTATCAACAAAAAGACAGATGTTAAACAACTGAGTGTCATTTACTCATATTTGCTAAACTGCGAAAAATTGGAGAACTTACATATCTCCCCAAATTTCAACTCTTCACAACCATAATTAGAATCTGTGTTTTGGCCGATTCCACCAGTAAATTTCATTCCACTCAAAATATAATAATTCTCTCCTCACGATTTATTAATAATTGTTAATTTAAATTCCCATGAATAATAATATAGTTTATTCAACTGCCTCTGGTCGGTTTAACAAATTCTAACATAAAATTCTGAAAATCTCATCATCTGAAGTGATTTGGCAACGTTTGGCACACGCCCACAATTCGTTCCATCTTTCAATACTGACATTGACATCCTTCGGCCTTCTGTCAAAGGGTTTCATGTCACTCATCATTCCATGACCACTAATTTGTGCAATCATCAAGTGGCTTCACGATGTAATGCTCTAATGTTTTTTTAAATAATTTTTAATCTGTTTTTAACTTGTTCTTGTCATATTTTATATAATTTTGACCATTGTACAATCTATCCAGCTCTCACCATGTTACTGGACGTTTCCCTCATCCTATACGTAAACAACAATTAGCAACATCCTCACATACTACTGTAAGTTGAGTCAATTTAAATTCATTTTACACCTTTGTTGCTACTGTTATCATTGTAATTGCAGCTCCTGATGATGATGGCAAAGTCCATTGAAAGCTAGAGAGAATTAAAAAAAGTATAAAGAGTCCTCTTTGCTTAAATTTTGTCGAAGTACCCAACAAAAGGCGGAAGCTTTAATTTTTCACCTAACTGGTCTAGACGACAATGACCACGTCTATATATAACCGCTGAATTGAAGCAAAAAATTACTGCGGTTTAGTATGAGCAGAACTTCATCAGCAATCTAGGTTGGTTGTTCGGTCTGAGTAAAAATAACATAGCCACGCCAGACAACTGTAGAAATGTATTCTACTAGACTATCCGGAGCGAAAGTTTTCTCGAAATCGTTGCACAACACAAAAAAAATACAAATGAAGATTGGAAAACTGCAGCTTTGAGGTTCTAAAGGACTGCGTCGTTACCCCGAGATAGACATATATTTTGACAGTTGACCCTGTCATTCTTGTCACCTGGATTGCAGCGTTGCCAGCTCATCGGACGATTTTGCTACTTATATGTGCTAGAATGTTACAAAAACAGAAGTTTTGAATAAAATATTGAGGAATACTAATGGAGATATATAAAATTTGAGGCGTAGCAATGTTTGCCAAAAAACTAAAGGTGATTCTGATAAATAATCCCATTATACGTTCAAGAGCAAACAAAATAATGAGACTTTTATGTTTTATGCAAAATAGTATTTTTAAATATTGCTATCAAATTTTTAATCATTTATATATCCTGTCCACAATTTGCACATAAACACAGGTGGTCTGATTTTGTCTCATGAATACCTTTTTTCGTTCCTGTCAACACTTTCAATTGAATCTCAAAAAACACGTTTCCTCATTATTTGTTGTCGAATAAAAAGTTTTCTCACAAAAATTGGTGTACCTATTTTATGGGTCCATGTTTTAAATACCCCCTTGAACACCTTGTATCAATAAAACCCGATTTTACAATTATTTCGGGGAAATTTGTTAATATGATTAGACTAATTTTCAATGAGTTATTCAAAACATTTTTAACTACCAAGATCGAAGTAAAAAAGTTGTTTTTTTTTTAGTTTTGTTATCTGACAGTATCACGAAGCGACTCCATGTTTAAGGCGGGTTTATACGCTACGTCTTATTGTATTATTTCTGACGACATATATTGCAGGACTTTTTTTAGATTATCAATTTTCTTTATATTTATTGGTAATATCTTTGAATATGCAGGGTTAGTTGGTAAAGTTGGCATGGTTTTATTTGATTAATTTAAAACATTGCGACACAAATCCGCCGATATAGTCGCTAGTGATGAGGTATCCAGGTGTAGAACTATCATAAGTAAACTGCCTGTAATTTGATAGTGTAAATTTGGATTTTATTTCATCTGAAGATTGACAAGTTTTTTTGTAATATTTGGGCCACCAAGTTTTGTAATCAGTTATATCTTTATAACATATTGTTGATACAGTGAAAGGCTTTACTTTGCGGCAAGAGAGCATCATGTTTTCATAATCTTCTGGAAGATATATACGATCATGTTTTCTTATCACTCTCTTAAGACATCCGAAGTCCCTGTCGCACGGTAAAAAAGAGTGACCTCGCAATGGGAAGTAGTGATAAATTTTGCGAAATCTTTTTGAAGCTGCAAGTGCTAATAAATATCTTATTACGGTATTATTCCGGTTTGGGCCCGGACATCCGTCCGAAAATATGTGCAGCTCTTGAATCTCCGCTGGCATTTTCTGCACATAATCATTGATAAACATGCATACCTCATTCGGTTCCTTCGCGGCTTGTCCCTCATGGTATGTATAAAAATGTCCAGTATCATTTTTTAAATCGTGTATTTCAAACCCATATAGCCATAGTTGCCTGTAATAAAACATTTCCTGGACAGGTATAACAGGCAGAGGCATATTTTGAATATGGTCAAAAACTATTCCACCAACATCTTCTCGTTCATGGCACAGATCAGTGACTTCCTTTAGCTTTGAGTAAAATTTTTTAGCTCGACGCTTATGAACCATTAATTCGGCAGCAGCAACTCTCTTAGCGTTGTCGTTTAAATTTGAAGCCGTAAGTTTTGTTGTTAATTCCTCGCATTGTCCACATACATCTGTTTGAGGTCTCCCGAATTTTAATGCAAAATTCTCTTTAAAGAATTTTAAGTAAAATTCATATTTAACTATCTTGGTTAATTCCGGGTGTAATTTTACAAAGAGATTATACATAGTCTTAACGTTAAGATTTGAATCAAGATAGTGAATTTTTTTAGAGCTGTAGTGAGAAGTCCTTCGTGGAAACGATTCAATGTGATGATGGATTTTGGAAGTAACCTGAGGTTGTAATGTATGAGGTCGATTATTATGCGTACCACGTAAATCTCTAGGTGAACCCTGAGACACGAACAATCTATTTAGTCGTAGTCTAGAGTTCGAGATTGAATGTAGATTAAGAAAGGCTGTTTTGCAAACACGTTGTTTCTCTAAAGGTTTTCGTATGTAATAAGAAAAACTCCTGAGTTTTTCTCTGGCCTCTGGTTTACATTCCATTAACCCATGTAAATAGACATCTTGTTCGTTTTTTGAACCTTTCTCGTATAATTCCCTCAAAACAGCTTCTTTTCCTTCCATCGTAAATTTAGTCATGCATTTGTTTTTACATCTAAAAAAACAATATAATATTGTTACAAACGATTGTGTTATTTTATAGTAATAAAGCTTACATGCAATCTGCTTTAACCTCCCTTTTGTTGACTATTTTCCCAGTTTTAGTTGTGTATTGGCTTCCAAGAAGACGAGCTTTCTTCCTTTCATTTCTCTTCCATGTTTCAGGACATCCTTTTTTTCTTTTACGATCGATCATTTCCGTATCCGAACTTTCACTGCTAGACATTTTAATCACGTAAAATATAAGAGGAAACGCGAAAATGTTAACATAACCTGCAAACAGGGTACGATCGAGCTGAATGCTTACTGACAAACCGTCCAAAATCAGCTGACTGCGCGACATGCGCCGTGCGCATGGTTGAGTGGAAAATCAGTATAAAAGCGGGAGTTATATCGTTATTCCACTCAATGCCAAATCTGACCGCTTCGTGGGAGCGTGCACGTAGTGAATATTCTACGCTTTTTCCGCTCAGTAGAAGGATCCTGTGTTGAAGAACATTTTGGCTATCTTGGTTTAAAATGCCTTTTTTGGGAGTTATACCGTTTTTCCACTCACCGTTTCAATTGTAGGGCGCGTTTATGGCCTCCTTGATTGTCATCCTCCTTTCTCTCTTTCAAAAATTTCAAGATTACACTTGTCCCGTGTCAGCGTCAGCGCTCTCCTATTGTGAAGATATATTTTCTTTTTAAATTGTAGGAAATTTCAGGCTCATAAAACATGATATAACTCAAAAGCAAGCACAATTTGATGCAAGTAGATATTTGTGACATAACCTCAAAATAGAATTCTGACACGGAGAAGCAGAAAACTATGACAATCAAGGAGGCCATAAACGCGCCCTACAATATTGTAGGGACGACTGACGATACGGGCCTAGTAAGTAATATTTCAACAAGAAGCATGAGTTCTGGTGGCAACAAAATCCAAGACGAAGGCGAGGATTTTTGCACCTGCACGAATGTTTTTTTTTAAGTATTACTTTGCATTGTTTTTTCGATTTTTTTGACAGGAAAAAATTGGATGCCTGAATGGTATTTGACAAGACTATATCATGAGTAACAGATTATTCTGCATACACATAACTTACAAAACATACTACCTATTAAAGTATTTTTCAAAGTACCTGCAAAATTCCTTCGTTTTGCATTACGAGCTTCCCTACTAGACTTAAAAATAATATCTTTGAATGGATAAAACATTATTTTCGACTTCATAAAATACACCTCTTGCATTTTTTGCAACGGTATTCTACATTGTCTTCATAACTAGTTCTTTGTAATTTTCACCGTTTTCTTTCTTCATATTCCATTTTGTTCAATCACCAGATCAATATTAGTCAAAGAATCACTTCCAAAGCGACTAATTTTCACTACATAGCACCGTTTAAAAACAATATTACACAATTTATTGACAATGAAATCAGGAAAATTGCTTAGCGTCATTTTCTGGTGTCCTAGGAGACCATAATCAAATTCAAGCGGATAACCAAATGGAAATGGTATTTACCATTTTGGGTTGGTATTTACCAATCCGTTCAAGCGAGTGTAGTTATCAGTTTGGTTATAAGATCCGTGACGTCACGAATCAGCTGTTATATGTCATAGTTATCACCGCAAAATTGTGGTATTTACCCAATTCAATAGTAGTTTTATATTTCTGGTTATTATTTAAAATGTGACTAGTTAGAATTTTGCCGGGTATTGGATATTGTTATTGTACTTCAGCTTCATTTTTGAGAAAAATGATACAGGCTGACTTCAGTTTTACCATAAGTGGAGCACCTTATTAGTTGTACTCATTACGGTTGTTGGGAACACTTTAAATGTAGTTCCTATGCTTAACAAAGTATCCTGTGTAGCCATATACCACAAGAATATTAAAATATGGCCATATAAACTCACTAGATGATGTCTACCTGTATACGGTTTTGCCAATTTCTTTTTTCATCATTTCTGCTGAATCAATAAATGTTTTCTTTGACATGCGGAAAAATTTAGAGAATTGAAAGTTATCATAGCTACAAAGCCATGGTTCCATCATTAAAAAAAAAATCTGAAAAAAACATTTCTCCCATGAATATTATGAAAGGTTTGTTATTTAAACTTTCCATATACAGTTGTAGACGAAAAAGCACCGATTATTAAGTGATAATAAAAATAATCATAGATTATATACGCGCTTTCCTAAAATAAACAACTTGCAACAAAACCGCGGTTCAAACCAACGCGTTCAAGCGATTCGTGTAACTGACGTCATCAACCCGTGTGTCATCTTGAACCATATTATAACCGCGGCACATAACACAGAAATTTTGGTTATTCGCTTGGATTTGATTCATAATTACTTGTTATCAAAGGTATTGTAATTTTTGGTTTCAACAGCTGTCAGGTTTGCGGAGAATCATCTCACTACTGCGCAAAATCGGAAATGAGGAATATCATAAGAAAGCAGCAAAACAAGAGCACTATAAACTCTCTAACATCTCCATAATACAGTCTTATTTGTTTTGTGCCTTAATATGGACACCCCTAAAAAAATTCCATCAACTTCCCATTTATTATAAAAGATATTCCATCCAAAAATCCCATCACCACTATTCTGTCAAATGTCATGATTTGACTGTCACCTATGTGACATGTAGGTCAATTGACGTGAAAAATGAAAATATTTTCTTGAACAATATTGTCTATTGTTGATTTTTTTTCTAAATTAACAAAATAGTGTATAAAATGGCTCGACACAGGGATATTAGGAACATGGACTATTCAGACGGTAAATAATATCGTTAAAATCGTAAACGTTTCAACAACTAAGCATTTTCTAGACTATGATGGATATGATGATGTATATGGACACTCAATGGATGACGATTATTATATTTCACCCAGTAATAGACAGTTTATTTATAACAGAGATAATTCAAGAAGTTCGGAAAGTGATATTAAAGAAGAGGATGAATGTGAGCACGGACTATCTGACACTGAGAAAGCAAAGCTAGACTCTTGCATAGACGAGATCAAAACAACTCTTGGCAAGATAAACATATCTCGAAATGAATTGATTAATATAGTTACAGCGAATGACTATGATGTTGAAAAAAGCATCAATGCTATTTTAAGCAACCCAAAATATACACAAGAGTCCACCAAGGAAAAAGCAGAAAAAGGTGAATATTTGTTTACATAACATGCTCATAATAGTAGCTTCATACAATTGAAGACTTTAATATAACTTCTTAAGTCTACATATCTTTAACCTCCATTAAGTTATTGACCTATGTATGCAGGGTTAAAAATTCTACAGTTCTTTTCATGGTTTTTGGCAGTTACATCACAATGCCATATGAAATAACTAAACCAGTTGACTACCTTTTGCAGAGCTAATCTTCTCTGAAGGTAATTGCACTCTGTTCAAATTAATTATTAATGCAGCTGTTAATTGCACACACACACATAGTTGAATTGGGCAATTGAGGACCCTTGTTTTCACTCCAAAAAAACTCCAATAAATTCAATATGTACTATCAATATTGTAATTACATCTTCTGGCATTGGTATATTTTATGTTGAAAATCAACAAAAGGTAAACTTTAATCATCACAAGCCTATGACATGCAAGTTTTCATAAAAATGGACTTTGAGAAAATTGTCAAGATCATGAGACAAAACTGAAAAATGTATGTCTGTGAGCTTACATAAACAAATGTCTGAGCATACAGGCTAATTGCATATATTCTGGAGTGACAGTGTTTCTTGTAGTTTTGTGCCCTGCAAAAATCTGTGAAAGGAACTATACATTGTATATACATATTCTTATGCCCACAGTAGGCTAGTCAAATATTATTTAAAGCACTTGTCATAAACTGTTTTTATTCCCTACTGATTGTAGAATGGAGTCTTCATTTACATTTATCATACTTCTAAAACCGCATATTGTGTTTATTGTTTTTATCCGTAGTGTTTGAAGAAAATAGCAAAATATAATAAATAATAATAAGTGTGATATTACTGTCTCAGAATTTGTATCAGATGATTTGTAGACTCAAAATATGTTTTTCTCCTAATTTATATATTTTCTTTCCATGTTTTTATTCCTGTTTTTTGGGATGGATTGTGTAAGGTAAGGTGAACCCTCAAAATTCATAATTCCAAATATTTTTAACAAGTCGGTCCCAATGAATATTGATAGAACAAAAACATCAAACTTTAATATACCAAGTATCTTTAACAAAGCACCTGGTCCATATCCTAATCCAAATGTAACATCCTCTCATTCAAAAACTACAGATATAAATGTTGACAAAGGAAAGTTTATTATACCTAAATTGAACATGAATGGTAAGAAAAACTCTGAAAACAGTCATTTTAACAAAGAATTTACTAGTCTATCGGAACTTGTCTCTAGTCATTTAGGTACAACACCTCTCTCAGATGTTACTGACAAATTTAAAATAATCACTATTGAGCAAAAACTGCCAGTAAGTCCTTTGATGGAAGACACAAACAAAATGAATCTCAATGAATCTAAATCCATGACATCAATATCAAAAAATGGAATAAAAAATAACTGGAACATTGATCTATCAGTAGCTTTAAAAAATACTGGTAGTTTAACTTCACTTTCAAAACTTTCCTTAAAATTGGAAGAACAATTCGAGATCCCATTTGTTGATGGTGACTCAAATCCACTGACATCCTCCAAAAAAGTTTTGTCATGCAATTTTGATGCTAGTAATATTTTGAAAATGAAAATTAAAAATATGAAAAACCCTACAACATTAGGACAAGCAATTTGCAAAAAGCATAAAAGCTTGAGACCAAAATTGAATGTTAGAATGATCAATTTTGAAAATCTTGAAATCAAATGGTTCCGTTTCAATACTCCATCTCCTGATGAGTTTGTGACTTCTCACTTGAGATAGTATTTTCAGTAAACTAAGGTTTTAAAATAGAAGACTGATAGAATAGAACTATTGTAACTGTAGAAATACTGGAGGAAATACAATAATGTGATTGTAATTTCCTCCATGATTTGAACTACCTAACAATAAAACTATATTTCATTCATCTATGCTCAGCAAGGTGTAGGCTTGGTCTCAGTGGACGATGAATGAAAGCTGTACAACTCTATTCATAATAATTTTATATACAAGTGGTCTTCTTTTT